GCATGAAGCTTGTTGGTACCCAACTTTAGCTCATTGCGCCAGTCATTCAGGTCAGCTTCGGGGCGGGCGGAGTGCCCCTCACGCCGACTGTGGCCCGGGTTCCCAGATTCTGACTTTTTCGGGGGATTATAGGGTTTGTGGTGCGTTGAAGCGCTCAGGATCTTTACAGGTTCCAGGTTCTGAGTTTGGGGTTCAGGCGCAATCACGGGTCTGGGTGGTCAGGACGCTTGGTGTTCAGAGGTTGAGCTGGGCCACAAGCTCTTCGGTATGGAGGGCATTGGGTGGGAAGGGCTCGAGTCCGAATTCAGGGCTGGGGTTCAGGTCCTGGATCCTCCTGGCCCACGGGTCCGGTACCAAATGAATCGTAAGTTGGGTTCACGGTAGTTTGCAAACCGATGAAGGACGTAAACCCTTAGACCCTTTATATGCCTAAGACAGTATGAAGCTGTTACCGGTTTTTTTGCCGGATGTTGCAACAGGTTCCAATCCCGAACCTGCAACTTCTCTCCCCCCCCATAAAAAGCACACAAGAAAGCACCCAGAGCAATTTTGAGGTTACCCTTAGCCCGTAGACCCTGAAGCTCCAACCCTTAGCCGTAGCCCCTGTGCCTTCTTCTCCGGTCTCTTTCGGTTCGGCCTTAAAGCTCGCATTTAATAATTACCAATAATACCATTTTTGAGGGTTCCTTATCATAAGTATAATATTTTGGGCCCCAAACCCTATTCTAAATATTAAGGCCCCCTAGATGTAGAGGGCACAGGACTCCTTGGATCTGGGCTCCCAGGGCTAGGGCCGGGAGGAGTTTCCGAAAGTTGGGAGTACCTTACTTTTTGGGGGTCCTCATAATAAGGATCCTACCTGTCCTACCTATTAGGGTACTAACCCTAGGGTCCCCTGTTTTCGGAAACTACCACTTGCACAACTTGAAGCTCCTGCAAAGGCCGAGTGAGTAGGGCCTAGGGCTCCCCAAACCCTGCAGCGACCGAAAGCCTGAGAGCAAAGCGCGAGATGGGGAGCGGCGGCAGGTCTCGACTGAGTCTATGGGCGCGGGTGCGGTTGCCCAGGTCTTGTATAGACCTAGACCGTGCATGTTGGCCTTCATCGAAGCCTCCGCAAATTTACCACCTAACTCACCAAGTTCTGTTGCAAGGGTCGTTGAGGCTCGTTGAAGCCTCAGAAGGAACTCCTAACCAAAACCCAACATTGGTGTGGACTTTGTTTCCAGCCATGCGCGAGGGAAAAATCCCTACATAAATGAAACTTTAGCACCCGATGCAAGAACGCCAAATCCCAAACCCAATACCCTCACAGATGAAGCTTGCACCCGAACGCTCTGAGCTGTAAATCTACTTTCTCTTTTGCTTATAGACCCTGGACAACAGACCCAAAACTCCGAACTGTCAACGTCTGCAGGCCGGATCAAGTACCAACTCTGCCTGAAATTAACATGGAACCGAAACTGTGGCCAACTCAATATAGACGGAGTGTCGGTACGGCTCGTTCGGAATATGAGTGAGTGCAATTGTGCCTTTCGTTGCAAGAGTGTTGAGAATGCAAAGGGCTATTTCATAATATTCTTTTGGCAAGAAGGGCTGACTCGGGAGTACTCGTTTTCTGCGTCTCGCTCTGATGTGCGAAGCCTTAAAATTCTGTGTGAGCGCCGAAACTCCTAAACCCCTATCTTGCAAGTCGAGAAGATTCGAGAAGTGTATCCACAACCCTAAACTCGATGAAGCCATAAACTCCTAAACCGAACAGAAGTTCGGCTGTTGCATCCTCGGCTACTTCAGACGCGAGGATCTGTCCTTGTGGCCTCTACAATCAGAATACGGCTTTGGTGTATGATATATGATCGTATAACTACACTATAGCTATGGATTATAAGGGCATACTCTTGTTAAAAAACCCATATTATCAGGCCTCAGTCGTGTGCTTGTGGAACAGAGCAGTTTGCTAGTCCAGGTTTGTTACACGTTTCGTTCATATTTTATGGTTTCCCTTACAGAACCTCCAGATCTTCACGTGAATCGGATAGACATCAGACTAGTAGTGGTAATAGTATAGTAGTAATAATAGTAGTAGTAGGGCCCAGGGCGCATGAAACGTCCAGGCCTCCGGAGTTCCGAGGAATCAGAGACTGCGCTTGACAGGAAGGAGGGAAGAGAGACAGAGAGACAGGGCTCTATGATGCATATACAGCGGAGTGGTACAAGCCTGACTTAGGAAAATCCCTGAAGAGCCTGGCCAAAATTTCAGATCATTATGACTCAAGCACGTGAGGCTATGGTGCACTGGGCGCAGAGATGACGCAAGCGGTGGGCTTGGCCGAGCCAATCTGATTGACCTGGGCCCTGGACCACACTCGACATATCGCTGTATAACTAAAACACCGTCAACTCTGGAGATCCAAGAAAGATGAAACAGCAAGAACGCAGCAACAGGAACGCCAATGTCACCCTGGATACAACAGGCAAGACCCCAAACACACTTTGGGGGGGCACTCTTCTTTCGTTGTGTGTGTGTGTGTGCGCGATTTGTTTTCGCTCGTTTCCTCGGTGTCGCACTCATATCGTAGTTGTTGCTCTTATGTGTTTGTATGTTCGCTTCAAGACCTACCTGGCAAGGGTTGAAGGCATTTTAAGTTGTGGAGCAGGGGTCTGCATCAAGCTTCCGGGCTGTTGCTGCCAATGGAGTTTAGCGGTTTGGTGCATATGTCCATGGCTTTAGTTGTGTTTAGTGTCTGGGCTTGTGCGACCAAGGGATTTGTGAATCCTACGTGGATGCTGTATGCTCTTATCCCGGTATTCGGGTGCCGATTTGTGTCGCTTTATGCGTCAGCAAGCTGAGCCTCAAAGCACAACGGAATTCAGAACGAACAGGCTCAGTGCTACTTAAACCTCAAAACCTCAAGAACCCTAATCGCAAGGGAGCTTGGGTAAGATGCACGGCCCAAGGCGGCTGTTCAGTCTGCCCAACAACGACCACCGGAGGCCAGACCAGGGGCACTCTCACTCAATAATGTCGCTGGTGTCATGAAGCTCACATTCGAAGTTGCATTCCATTCACCTCCAATTGGTCGGTGGTGATGTACATGGGATGAAATCAGTAGCATGTTCTATCTTGTGTTGTGGGCAGGGGTCAGACCTTGGACCTAACCCCATATCACAAGTACTACTCAAAGATACTCTGCTGGACGAAGAGGGATCCAGAATCTCACGCCCGCTTCTTTCACAGCTTTAGCCGAAAAGCCTCAGCCTTACACCCCACACCCCCAATCACCTCCAAGCCCTGAAGCCCTGAAGCGCTTCAGATCGGAGCTCCGAGACACTATTGATCTCCTATTGGGAGACCGTCAGTTGAACAGACATGAGCTTCTGTGACATTGAGACTTCCCTAAAGCGCCCTCGCAATCGCACCCGTACTGGTACTAACCGACCAGGCTGCAGAACCGACGGTCGTGCGCAAACCTCAGGAGGCCGGGCTTCGCAGCTTTTGCTGCGCTTGGGGCTTCGCGACTTTCGGGCGGGGGGGGGGGGCACCCTGTCTTTCCGGGACCCGGTTTTTCGGCCTGGAGCCCTTTGGCTTTCGATTTTTTGGTTCATTTCAGTTCTTTCGATTCAGAGGCTGGGTCTGGGTTGTGCTTAGGTCTGGGGTGCATTCGGTTGCCTGCTGCTACGTTCCTACCTCTACTAGGGAGAAACCTTGCTCAGGGTATTGGGTTTCGGGTTCGGTCTTTGGCGGCTTTAGTGCGATTTAGGGCGTTCTTAAGTCTCAGCCTTAATTGGGCGGCTTCGCAGACCTGATGTGAAAGCACCATTTGCGGAACCAGGATGCAGACTCGCTGGGTTTCTGTTTTCTGCTCTCCGGTACGTCTGGGAGTTTGATTTGATCATGGTCAGTAGCCCTTGTCAACCCTGAAGCTGTTTGACAAAATCGCTTCGATGTTTGACACGTAAAATATTCAACTTACTCGGGCAGTCCAACTGTGGTAACGGGTCTCCAAGCTTGTAAGACCTTACAGGATATGGGACATGGGAGCCCCTTCAGCCCCAATTCAGGTTAAAGCCCCAGTGGAGTCTGCACCCAAGTTCCGTCAGGACTTTGCAAAATGCAGGGATCTTGAAACATTAGGGTCCCTGTTTCGGGACCTGTATAAGAATCCTGTACTTCAATTCTATATCAGTTGCGAGAGTCCAATCAGTACGAAACCGACGTAGCAGGATTTTTTATACAGGCCTCGAAACAGGGACCCAAATTGACCCAAATATTTCTTCACTGGGGATTGTGCGCCCTTTCAATGGTACACCCGCAGGGGACCGTCATGCCGTGACCCCTAAACCGTGTATTGGAAGGTCCAGAGAGTTCCGAGCCACTCTACCGCACCGATTGCATCAGAGGGCGGGCAGGCAACCCGGGATGCGGGTGCAGGGTTCATCTAGTGACAAATCTAGACTTTGATTTTCAGGCTCACTGCTTTGTGGTTCGAGGTTTTGGATAACCGAAGAGTCCAAGACATCACCTGGGTGACCAACTTCAGTTATGGTCGAAGGCCGGAGATAGCACATGAAATGTAGACCCTAGGACTTGTAAAGTAAAGCCAACTGGTTCCAGTGATTGTCCTCGCCGTTGTCATCCCAGTAGCTCAGAGTCTTTGAGCCTAGGCCATCGCCGCATACTCTTTGACCGGTACACGGAGTCAAAGGTACTGACGACATAGCAGCAGTCATGAGGAGATGCAGGAATGTAAGGCAGACGCAGCAGTTTCGAAAGTTACAACCTGCACCTGGTCCGAACAGATGGCCCAAAAAATGGCCTCAACTAGGGTCGAACAGCACTTCGAGGCAAGACTCCGAAAGGAAGGCTTTCGCTGAGCACTTGCGGACGCAAGTCCACATGAGAACAACTCAGCCTGGGGCCGGTAGCAGCAGTAGTCGTGGTGTCGTCGTCTTAGCAGTGGCAGTAGCATGGCAGAGGGGCTTCGATGATTGCTTGTGAAGCAATGTACGCAGCACTTCGTGGAGTGGTGGTGCCTCTGCCACAGTCACATGCAGAAGTGAACGACTCTTGGTTTCACAGATATTCCGAACCATCGATCCCATCATAGAACCTGTATAGAAACATCTACAGAACCCTTTAAGGAATTCGTTTAAGGAACCCAAAAGCCCTAAATCCTAAGCCCGAACTTTTTTTTGGACGACGGCCGCCTGTTTGATCCCTTTTTACCCCAATCCCCTGAGCACCCTCAGATCCGCACTCAGAACGGGCGTTTCAGATAGAAGGACTCCGAAGAACAAACTTGGTTTTATGCTCTCTGGTATCCCCCCCCCCCCCCCCCCCCCCGCTGCTGCACGCCCACCCTGCACCCCGGCCCGGTCCCCCGGCCGGCCCGCACTTTGCCCGCCCCTTGACCTTGTGCGCGGATCGGGAGTGTCGCACTATGCCCTGGTGCGGAAAGCGGCAATCGGCTCAGTAGTTTCCAGCATCTGACATGAATGGCAATGCTGAATTATGAGGGTTGTATGGCGATGGTGATGGTGGCAGATATTCTTTTGAAGGTATTAATGATGAAGATGACGACGACAAGGATGATGTTGAGCATGGTCTGATTGTCGACTCATGTCCCGGTCTAGAGCAGCACAACATCTTGAGCAGTATCACCGGTGCCACAGCAAGAGGGAAGACAAGGAGTAACACATAAGAACGTCGCGGCAAAAAGAGTACCACCACAGGCCCCACACCACAGGGGGGGCGGGGGGGAAGGGGGGAGGATACCATGGGGTGGGGGGGGGGGGGAGGGGGGGTGTGGCAGCCCTGCATCATATATACTCCCAGGGCCATCTCCAATTCTTCAAGGGGCTCAGACATAATAGCCATTCACAGCAAGAGCGGGAGTCAATACCAGTAACCCTGAACACCTGCCTATCCTTCAAGTAACTTGAGGCCTAAGGAACTAATTACTCATATACCCAGACTACTACCCTACAAAATAACACTACTAGCATAAATCGTTGGGTAGAACCCTACACTGATGCGGTTCCCCCTTTCTTTTGTGTTATAGCTTTTGTATACGATGCCCCAAAACGCTATTATATTCTAAGTTTCCAAGGCCCCTATACTAGTTTGCACCGCAGGTTGTGCTCGAGACAGAGTTGGCGCAGGTCTTGCAGGCGCGATGGGATTTGGGGTTTAGGGTGCAGTCAGAGAGACCTGGTCCAAAAAGTTCTGAATATTGGGGTAGGATCCTTTTGATAGAGTCTGTATGTCTGTCATCTCAGTGTTTTGAGTGTTTAGTTTTTCTCAATGAAACAATAGGGGTCTTTTCTTATTATGTGGTCACACCTATTATTTGAGGCAGGGGGTGGGGGCTCCTGGCTCTAAGGGATCCGACCTTTGCTTCTCCATTGAGGTGCTGTGTTTTCTTTCAAAATTTTTCTGAGACTCCCATCTAGTCGAGGGTTAAGAGTTTGGGAGTTTGGGTTGAGTCCATTACGGATGAGGACAGCTTGGAGGCGCGGACTGCGGTTTCGGGTTTTGGCTGTCAGGGGTCGGAAAAATTAGTAGTACTACTATTCCTGAGAGGTCCTGATCAGAATTATGGCCTCGCAATATGTCCCCACATCCTATAGTACTGATTAAGGCCACCATACTAAGCGTCGCAGGCTGGAGCCCGGTCGACGCCAGGCTCGGTCGAAGGCGGGCAAGGAGGGTTTGGAAATTAAGGGCTGCCAGGTTTGAGGGTTTCCGAGTCTGTTTAGTTTTGCTGTTAGCAGTTGTAGGCTTTGCCTTCGAAGCTACAGCGACAGGCCACCCCAAAACTCCTTGCCAAGGGATTTGGGATGGGCTTTGCTGATACGGTTCCGTGTTCACGCGGTCCCCGACAGTCATTCACTTTCCGCTTGTTACTGTATTCATTCCCGTTGTCCGTTTCGAACAGGAAGCTCCCAAGGTCGTTTGCTTTGGTCGTGCAGGCGTTGGAGGTGTTCAAGATCTTGGCAAGTCTACGAACATGTCTGGATCTTGAGACGTCATGGCTTCGACCCACGACTACGGCCCCTTTCTGCAGGTAGCATCGTGCAGCAGGGCTCCGACGGCAGCATGGCAGCCGCTGGCCCGGTCATGGGGGCTCACCTCGAAATCAGGGTACTCCTCCAGCGTGTGTTTTTTGAAGGGGATGATGGGGGGGAGGGGTTTACCTATACCACTTCCCCTGCTGGGGTATAATATGGGGGATCCATCACATAGACTTTATGAAGCTCCTGTATGCGGCTCATTTGCCGTTGCATTGTTGACTTGTCTTCCGAAAGCAAGGAGCGATATCAATGTTTAATGACGAACATAGGTAAAGACGAGAACCCAAAAGGCCCGATGTTTCCAGACGACACCCCTCCTGCAAAACGCGTCCTATGCCCCGCACACACTAACACCCGTAAAGCGTCGTAAACCCATACAACACTTCACACAGCCGGGCTCTCCGAGGGTGCTGAGCAGCTCGTGGCAACGGCGGTGGCTGCAGCGACGACGCCGACGTCCTTTCCAGCTGTGGCAGAGGCGCCTTCTACAGGAGGAAGGTTTTTGTCGTATGTGCGGCTTCGGCAACATCTATGCAAATTGAAGATGGATGCAGTCTCGTGCTTTTTTTTGAAGCTGCAGACTGCTTCCATGTAGTTCCGGAGTCTGGGAGGGTTGATTGTGATTTTACAAGGGAGGGCTCTGGGCATAGCATACAGGAGTTACAGAGGCGGTCTCGTCCACCGGTCGGGTCCACGTGAAAATTGCGCGGAATTTGGCACCAATGGTGTTCAGGATCTCGACTTCGCAAGGCTTAAGCTCGAAGCCTGGATCCTCGATTAACCAAAGACCATTTTGGTGGTACAATGGGCCCTATTCTGATTATTTGGTATAATATATACCTCAATCCCCATTCTCCCTATCAAGGATCCTTTAGATCTCTTTTCTAATTGTGAAGGCCCCTGAGCTTTCAGATCCCACGCGAGGCGGCCGCTCCGCCTCTTGCTCCGCAGCTGCCTCCCGATGGCCCCAAGCAGGCCGAAACGAGAATCATCTTCAGGTTTCATGGGTTTAGGATTTCGTTAGGGTTTAGGATTTCGGTTGGGTTTAGGATTTTTTCGGTATTTAGGATTTCTTTAGGGTTTAGGATTCTTTAGGACTTTTGCCTCGAGGGGTTTAGGCTGAAGGAATCCCTGTGCGGGTTCATCGGATTAGGATTTCTGCCTCGGTGGGTTTAGGCTGAAAGGAAAATCCTTTGGGGTGTCATGGGGTCAGGATTTCTCTTTCGGAGGCTTTAGGAGAGAATCCTTTGGGGTTTCATGGGATTGGGATTTCTGCCTTGGGGGGGTTTTGAGATTTCAAGGGCTTTGGATTTCTGTTTTGGGAGTTTTGTCTGAAAAGAGGATCCTTTGGGGTTCATGGGATTAGGATTTCTGCCTCGGGTGGTTTTGAGGTTTTCTGGGGCTGGATTTCTGTTTTGGTGGTTTAGGCTGAAAGCCGGATCCTTTGGGGGATTAGGATTTGTAGTTCGGGGGGTTTGGGAGCAGGGTTTCGGGGCTGCCAGACTTTAATTTGATGTTGCTCATATGTTTCGTAGACCCTACCTCCTTCTCCTACTGTAAGGGCCCCGTAATAGGAACGTGATATAAGGTATCCCAAATGTCTGCCCTTAACCAGAGACAGTTGAAGGTTAAGAGATAACTCAGATTCCTCGTTGATCCCTGCCATGCTTCACGGGCCGTTATATTCTATTATTATCATGTAGGATCCCTGTTTTACAATCCTTGCTACGACAGGAGATTCATGAATCCGGCGTCCACATTATAGCCCCAAAGATTTCCCATAAATTCGCCTCAACGCCCTGATAAGTCATCTTAAGCTCCACCTTAGGCAAGCCGTAAAAGCCCTAAAAGGGCCCTGGGCCCGCAAGGAAGCTCGCGCTCCGAGCCAAGCTGCTGAGTCTGTGGGCCCGGAGGAGGTCCCCGGAGAGGTTCTGGGGGCTTTGGAGGTGAACATAGCATACTGGGACCCGGAGTAGGCCCTTATTCCCTTTTCGTAGGGTTCAGGTTGCCTTATAAGCCCCTTTAAACCAAAAAGGGCACCCTTTTTTTTCCTAGGTTACTCTTGGGTCTAGCATAGCAAGCCTTCAAGCAGTCTATAAAGGCTACTACAAGGACTATGATAAGTAAGGAGTTCGTGTAGGGACCTTAACAATGACCTATACACTATTTTGGGGGCTCGTTGTGGAAAAATATAGTATAATGGGTCCCCAAACCCTATTCTAATTATTAAAGGCTATATGTTTGGAGTTGGGTTTGGATTCAGGTTACCGTTGTGGATTTAGGTTTGGGCTTAGGGGATTAGTTTGGGGCTCACGACCTGTAAATGCTTCTGAATTTTGGTGGTTCGCTGCCGTCGCTTAGATTTATCAACGGCGTTGACCAGCGCTCCTCTCAGGGGGCTGTTTCCGCTCACCTGGGTTCTCAGAAATGCATGTCGTGTGCTTTCGGAAGTCGGAGCTTCCTTAAGGTTGGTGATTCGCGTCATCATGGTCAAAGCTTTCAAGCACTCCCTCCCTAGACTCGCTAGACCATTTAAACTATCTCTAAACCCTATGTCCTTAAGCAACAAGGCCAAGTCAATGTAAAGCCTACTTTAAGAGCCGCAGACGTCATCCCCAAACCGACCAATAATTTGGATATGCGTTTCAACTGGACAACAGCGCCAGGGTTTTGTGCGGGCGGAGTTGAACAACGTCCTCCAGGCCGATCCCAGCCCCGGGTCAGCCCGTTGCTCCTCGCGATGTCCCGAGAAATCCTCAAGATTTTGAGGAAGAATTGCATGAGATATTCTTAAGTATGCATGCACCTTTGATTGTATGCATGTGTGTATAGACCTAAGCATTCGCATATACGTTTCGGTGGGTAGATACACGAAAGAAAAGACAGACTCAGACGGACGGAGCACAGAAACAAACCGAGAGACAGAGAGTGAGACACACAGACAGACAGACCCGCAGACAGACTAGTGTTCGTATAGCGACCTTGACGGTTATAACAGGGTTCTCGGATTTGCTGAGACTACAAGCATATAGGGACTATCTACCAAACTCTCTCGTAGTTAATCAGATCCAGTGCAAAGCCCTAAAATGCCGTTGTGGACCAGGCACCAGATGCATATTTCCATTGTTTCTCTCAGGGCGCTTTTTTCCTCCAGAATCCAACTTTTGGCTCATAGGATATAAATTTCGAAGATCGTCTGGATTCTCCAGGAGTTTGGGCTGCGCCCCTTTGAAACTGACTTGAAGAGCCTCCCTCACACAACTCCCTTTAAAAAAGACTGTGTAGACTATATACTGGGTCAAACCTGGGAACAATGGCTTTTGGGTGCACAGCCCGACCTCTGAACCCCGCACACACAGGCTGCCACGGTCAAAGCAGAGAGCTCGGCAACAGGCTCGGTAGCAGGCGGCACATGTACCGTGCATCGGGGGGTGGGGATTTATGGTAACCCTAAACACAAAGCTTTTGGGCTTTGAGCTGGAGCATGACGCCCCGAAGTTTCAGTTTGAGCATGAACTCTGGGATACACAAGTCATGAGGACATAATAAACAACTGCAGGGCACTGCAATGCAAGTGTAGAGTGGCAGCTAGCATTTAGTTTGCGTTTCAGTCTGGGTACAGAAGAAGTAATACCACACTACACAGCACAGCAACAAACATGCTGGCAGAACAGCGGCAAGGACTTTTCAAGTCTATGAATTCCAAATTCATCGCCTTGCATAGAAGCTGTCGGACAGCCAGGCAGGGAATCATAAATTTCAAGCTCATTGTCATTTCCCATCACGACATCCCAACCCTGCCCATAAACTCCAAACTGACAGATTGTTGGGTCTTGGTGTTACCTGTACTGCTTCGTCCCTTGGTGTACAGGTAGCAAGCACAGTGGACTTAACGCCTGAAGCCATGCCTGCCTTGTGCGAGTGTGTGAGTCGAAACCCTCATAAATAAAAGTCTGGGATGAAACATGGCCGGCTCCTTCCTTGTGCTTTCTGTGGTTTGGGCGCCGTACTGTACTGTTTACAAGAGAAGGAGCCCTCCATCCCGAAACCCTAGACCCTACGTGCAGAACAGGCCCAGCTTTTCAATTATCAGTTCCATGAGGAATTCAAAACAAAGCAGTCCTAAGAATTGCAGGCCGTCGCACGGGGCTTGGGTCAAAGCCCCAAGGCCCTCGAAACCTTTCCAAAGCCTCTCCAAGAGTATCCCCTTATAGTTTGCTTCTACATAACTGCGAGAGTATGCTCAAGGGTGGTTCTACATAATAAGTGTACTGTAATAACTACGTAAAATATGACTCTCATGTTCGGGGCCGTTACAGTATCGGTTGTATCCATGGTTCCGGTTGCTTGGGAGGCAGCCCCGTGGTGCAAGGCTCTGTGGGCAGCTTCACGGCCTCTTTCTGGCAGCTTTTGGGCTTTGGCGTCCGTTTAGGCTTTGGGAGTTAAGGGGTACTTTAAGGTTATTCAGCAATAACACAGGATGACATGCTTTGTAAGGGCCTAAGATAGATCGTAATTTAGAAAGAGAATGTTCGGATGTTTGAGGGATCGAGAGCCTGTGCCAAACCCGAAGCCTTTTGGGATGCGAAATCTAGGGATTTGGATCTGCATAGGTGTTCAGAGTTTGTAGTTGAGGGGTTTAGGGCTGTGGGGTTTTCGGGTTTAGGACATAGTTGTTTTTTCCGGATGTATTGCGCGGGGATGTGAGGGTGCATCCTTAACCCTAAACCCTGTGTGACACTCCCAATAGAGAAGTTTCACTCAACAGACCTCGAACCACATGCCTCGCCTGGATTGTCCGAGTGCGAGCCCCGAAACCCTGAAGGAGCCCCTGCGCAGACCTGAGCCCTAGCTGTAAAGAGTTTGCGAACCGAGAGAGACCTCGTCTGACTGAGTTCCGAGCTTCGAGAGCGTAGAGGGCCCCGAAGTCTTGTTGCCGGCTGAAGGCTTAAGACACCGGCAGGAACGCTTGATTTGGGTTCTGGCGTTTGCGGTTTGGGTTCAGGCTTTGCCGTAAGGGAACATACGCTGGCACACAGTCCAAGTTCCGGCAGCGCCAAGTCCTTGTGCCAACCGTTATCCGTCTACCGTAGTATAATGCATTTGTATGCTCAGTATATGTGAGTATATATATATATATATACAGTATAGGATACTTGCAGCCCAAACCCAGACCCATCTAGTCCATAGTTCTTCTTCAGTCGAAAAATCAGCCCTTTAACATGTTCTAACTGAAGACCGAAGAGGGTTTGAAAAGCACCTTCTTAAGACTATTAAGTCTTTGTGTTCGAGAAGAAGCCCTTTGATGTTTAAAACCCCAAGCCCAGTATGGGAAGTTGGGCACAACAAGAACCTCAAACAACCGGTGACTTGGACACTACAGAGAAGGAGGCTTTTGTACAGACCCCTCGGATCAGAAGCCAAAGAATCTTCACGAGGTCGCGGAACAGCTGACAGCTGCGGCCGTGGCTGCGGCGGCCGTGCCGCAGCCGTCGGCTCCAGCATCGGAGGTTCTGCACACATCCGAGGCAAGGTTGGGATTCATTCCCTCAGGTGTGAAATACCTGTTCTGTAAGAACTTAGAGGGGCACGTCTAACTATCTGGAGTTTGGTCGGGGCTTCCTCAGGTTGCTTTGCGTAGGACTTAGAGCTGCGAATGATGATAGCCTGTCCCGTTTTTTGCTGACGAGAAATTAGTGGGGAACACGTCTTCTCCTACGTGATGCGGGAGTCGGGTACCAGTGACAAGCCTTGAATCCAAACCACTGCGCTTGAGAAAACTCAAGCGTGTATGGGCTGCGTCTGCTCGCAAGCCTTTCGGGATGGGCCAAACTGACATATTGAATCACTTTCATTCTGACTCTGCAGTGAAGCTTCGACTTCTTTTGGGCTTGGGAAGTGAAGGAGCACGCACGTGTAATGCTGGACCGTAGGAATGCGAGGCCTGTGTCAAGAGCCCTGCGACAACGCATCAAGAGTTATCAGAGCGAAGTATTTGTAGCCGAATAAGCCAAAGCTTGGTTCAACTTTGTTCCCATGAGATCCACCCCCAAAGTTTGTTTGATTACTCCTGAGGCCGAGGCTCCGGTGTCCAGAGACTCGCGGAATCAAGAGTCGAGATCGTTCCTCACGTAGTCAAGGGGAGAGCTTGAAACTGTTAAGGCTCCCACATCTGGTCTGTATGGCACAAGTGGGAGCTTCTTATTGGCTTGTTTCTGACTATTGACTACTGTTCCTCATGAATTAAGCTTGGCCATCGCATTTCTGCCATCTAGTCCCCAAGGTTAGCCATCAGTTCCTTCGACAGTTCGCGCTCCACAGAAAATCTCGGCACAGGTTGGCGATCTCAATGATGCCGCAGCAGCTGCACATGTCGAAGCGGCACCTTCCACGGCTGTGATGGAGACAGTCATCTCCCAGGCAGGTTTGGGAATGAGTATCGCGTTGCGTGATACAGCCTCTGGGAGAACTTGAACTTGTTTGGTGTTCATACTTCGTCTATACAAAGGAAGACAGCAAACTACATAAATTGGAAGACAGCCAACTACGAGGAGGCTACGTGTGACCGGATTACGGATGTAGTGGTCACTTTATGGCGATTGCTAGGAAGGAGCCCCAAGAGTACGATTTGAAGAACGCCGGATATCGAGGACACAGCATAGTTGCATAGTCACGTCTTTGCTTAGGACCCTTGGTGTAGAAGTGTCACTGCGCGACCCAAATTAAACCTGAAAACAAACAGTGTTATGCCTTTAGTCTCCTTGTGTTTTCCTGAGCAGGGCGCATCGGCCATCCCTGCTTTCGCTCTGGCCCCGGAGCTTGCTGTTCAAGGTTAATTGTTGACGTTCAACTTGGGTTATGAGTTGCTGTCTACGCTTTGCTCAGACTTTGGGCAGATTGCCGTGCAGGCTTAAGGAAGCTTCTTGTGAGTTCTCCACCTCAACCTGTTCTTTTAAGGGATCAATCGAAATGTGGAGAAGGGCCGGGTCATCTGCAAATGAGGGTTCAAGGCTGTGACACAAAGGTTGCTCCAAAATGTTAGCCTCTACGGGTCCTCAGTTCTGAGCGATTCAAAAGACCCCTGTCTATTATCATCACATTTTTTAACAGACGTACTAGTAGGAGTAGGATAAATCCGTATTCTCACCCTTGTCCTTGTGAAGCGAGTGGATCTGTTTATCTCTAAGTCGCATTACCGGATAGTCGAAAGGCCATGTCCCGTACACCCTAAACCCTTAAAGCCTTCAATCAACAGCCCAAATCATAAGTCCCAGAACCGAACCTTCATCCTACCCACCTGCACTTCAGCCCGCGTCCGTCTTCTGAGTCGATTGTCTGTGGCACGGGGGGTTTTTTTGGGCCGCAGCCATATTCTTCGTTACGGTGTATATAGGGTCCCCTGACTTCGTTAAGATAAACTTAGGCTTTGCATCCCGTGCCAGTTATTTCGGCGCTGTGGTGCCTTTTGAGGCACTAGCATTGAAGGGCTCATCGTTAAGGCCACAAGTAGACAACTTATGGTAACATATAGTTATGTATATCTTAGTTTTATGAGACCCAGTCCCCGCACCCTTGGGATGGTCTGAAAATATTGTTTGTGTGAGGTTTTGTGTCAGCGAGAGTGTGAGCGGAAGTGTGAGCGGGAGTGTGAGTGGGAGTGTGAGAGGCCCATTCATGCTCACACTTCTGCTCACACTCCCACTCACACTTCTGCTCACACTCCCGCTCACACTTTTTGCTGTGTTTTACAGCAAAAATGTGTGAGCGGGAGTGTGAGCGGAAGTGTGAGCGGGCGTGTGAGTTGCCCATTCATGCTCACACTTTCGCTCACACTCCCGCTCACACTCCCGCTCACACTTGTTTGCTGTGTTTTGCAGCAAGAATGTGTGAGCGGGAGTGTGAGAGGGAGTGTGAGCGGAAGTGTGAGTGGAAGTGTGAGCGGGAGCGTGAGAGGGAGTGCGCGGGATCCGGAGTGTGAGTGGCCCATTCATGCTCCCTCTTTCGCTCACACTTAACCACACACTTCCCGATGGGCTGGAAATTCATGCTCACACTTTCGCTCACACTCAACCTTACACTCAAACTCACGAAATAGTTATTTCCTGGAATCCAAGCACTTGCAGGGTACGGTGTGTCATAACCTTAGCTGAATCTACCCTGTCCCTAACCGCCGAAGTGATCTATGTTCGAGCCAGGGGCCAGAGCTCAAAATTCAGCCTGAGGGTTGAAGCGTGGACTTGGGTTGACTGCGGAACCCCTGAAGCCAGCCCCGAAGATTACTTGGTGGTTTCGGACCTGATCCTTCTCAGAACCCCGGGCACCTTGAACCTGGTCCTGAGCTTCACCTGCCTTGCACGACGGTGAAAGTCGAAACCTCACTGCCCACCATGATATTCCCATTCATGCTCGCTCCTGCTACACCTGCCCTGAACTCTGAACCCCAAGTGCCTGAGGTGACACCGGAGGTGGGTGCCCCTGCGTCCGGAGCCCTCCTTTTTGGTTGTCTCTATGCACTTGGGCCTTTGATAGGGTTGCAGGCTTTACGGTATTGGGATTGTGGCGTTTGGGACGTTCGAGCTGGCAAATCATAGGGTCGGTGGTTTTGGGGTTGTAATCCAGCTGTCCGCCTCGCGTGTTTGGGTGTTCTATGAGCCTTCCATGGTTCTGGCGGGTTGGCTTTTGCTGTTTAAAGGGGCGGTGGATTTCAGCAGTTAGGTATCCCCCGAAAAGATGAGACACCTACGTCAGCTATTTGTACTGGCTTTAAGCCCCGGAATTATCAAGTCTTTGGCCTTTTCTTTGGGACGTTGCAGTTGAGAGTTTAGGGCTTTTGCACGAACGGAACCCACTACACAGGCAGGAGAGTGCCTTCTGAGCTACATCAGTCCATTACCCAGACCACGGCAGGATCTCGAAAGTAGATCCCCTAATTTGGGGCCCTATACTACTAAGGGTACTTTATAGGAACCCCCAACAAGGGATCTACTTTTTGGATCCTCCCGGGGGTCTGGGTAATTGCCGAGGTCCTCAGTGTTGGAACCAGCTGCAACTGCCGAGGCAAACTTCTCGAAGTGTCGGGCTCTAGAGAGTTTCGGCTCTTAGGATGCAGGGTTGTGTTTAGGGACTAGTGGCGGGGCCATAAGTGACAAATCCTGGCGAGGGTTAGGATTCACTAGAGTTCGCGTTCAGGCGTTGTGCAGCTTACAAGAGCATGTGCCCTAATCCTCTAATTCCCCCTCGCGGCGACAGAACGGGAACACACAACCATGTATTGTCTCATCTTGAAACCGTCCGCGTGCAGAGCTACACTTAAAGAACCGCAGACCGAAACTGAAATCAGGTTTATGCGGATGCGCAAGAGAATTCCTGTTTTCTTCTCTCTCTCTCTCTCTCTCTCTCTCTCTCTCTCTCTCTCTCCCTGAATTCGCTATTATGTAGTCGTAGCGCCATTCATCTCTTGCACGACTCTCACTGCTGCTACTGGAAGGTGCTGTTTTGCAACGGAACCCTATACATCCCAAGCGACACTGGAAAGGCTGAGCAGCGTGCGTTCTTGTGCTCGTCTATCTCCGCTCTTAGTTGAGGAGCCGGCATCCGCAACAGCTGAGGGACAGCCTGGGCCACGGGTTTCGTTTCTGACAGGGCCCATGTGAGTGGGGTAAGGGGTACCCAGACCCGCGGGAAGATCCAAAAAGTAGATCCCTTAACGGGGGCTCCTATAAAGTACCCTTAGTAGTATAGGGCCCCAACTTAGGGTTTAGGGTTTAGGGTCCTTTACCCTTAGTAGTATAGGGCCCCAACTTAGGCGATCGACTTTCCAGATCCTCTCGGGGGTCTGGGTACGGGATACGAAGACCAGACCCTGAGTTTCCACAGCATTGTGCGGTTGGCGTGCCAGGCCACGGCGATCAAAAAAGGAAGGAACCACATAAGAGGGTTGAGGACTAGGAGGGCCCGACTTTGGAGAGGGGGTACTTTTGAACTTGAGATGATGGGTTCTTTCATTGGCCATGGTCTAGAATTCTTTGAGGGGGTATGCATGTATTACAAAGAAGGTTTCAATGTTGGTGCTGGATGTGTAGGTCGCATCCTGCAGGTTCGAGCACATCCTTTGACATTGCCTGCAGTGTTTTGGATAACCGGTTTGATGGCTGAGCCCATAAGTCGAAAAAGCAGGGTAGCCAAACAATGAACTGCATTCAAGGTTTTCGGCAATGTGGGCGTAGTTGAGTCCCACCCTGAACCGGTTATTTCAGACCCTTGACCCGAAACCTGATAGACTATAACTGCTTAGATCCCTATAGGTAGGGACCCGAATTTGCCGAAGCCCACACCGAGCAGCCCTGAAGGCTAATCGTTAGATGCTCAACTAAACCCGGTATCTCAACTTTCTTATATGTTCCGGTGGTTGAGGCCTTAGGGCCTTTTTGTGCAGTCAATGAGCCCCTGAAGCTGTACGCTTTGACACCCGCTCTCACCTCGGTGAGGTCCTCAGGGCCCGCAGCAGCGGCCTCGGCCCACATTTTTCGGGATCCTTTTTTTTGAAGGTATAGGAAGTTATGAGTTATGAGTGGCTTATATTCTCATTTGGGGTGTTGCTTAGTGCGGAGTGGGTGTCTTTTTTGTTCATGGGTTGTTTCTAACACTTCCGTTCCTCTCCTTGGGGTCCCTGCAGTCTCTGAAAACCCAAGCACGGTAGGCTTTGTGGTAGGGTTTGCGTGTGTGAGCACCTGGCCCCTTAGGAAACACTAGGGCACTAGGACCAGCAGCTTATTTCGTCTGGTGTTGTGCGGGTTTCGTATTGCTTGAACCTGGGTTTCTGTGCCGTGGCGATCTGGAAGCTGAGTGCATTCTGCAGGACTTGCATAGGTTGGTGAGGAGCGCGCCATGTTATGTCCTGCACGGGTGTCTATGCCTGGGGTGCCTAAGGCACACTTGCAATCCTAGAATTGGGACGCTGGTGCTCTCAGATTGCAACGCCTAGAACATTTCGTGTATACGGAACCCCTTGAGCTTGTGGGTGGTTTGCAGCCAGCAGGCATGTGAGCCAAGCACGTCTATGTGAGTCCTCAAACGGCCCCCTAAACCCCAGAATCCCCTGAATCCTTGCCTCGTGAGGCCCCTAGCACGTCTGCAGCCTTACCAGCAATGCCAGCCGAGACTCAGCGAGGGCCTTGGAAGATGCGTCTCCAGCTGTCGGGTATATATCAGTCTGCAAGGGCTTCTATATGCTTTCTTATATTGTTGTGATGTTTAAGGGCTCTCTTCGCGCTTTAGGAGTTCAGGGCTGCCGCGAGCAGGAAGGCTCACGAAGGCACAACCCCTTGGCTTCGGGATTTGGGGTGGCAGGGAGCTCATGGAACTGAGGGCTTTTCTGAATCAGCAGCCGCAGGTGACCCAGAAGTTGGTTGAGGAACTGCAGCTTATTAGACTGTAGGACGGTAGGTAGTGAGCAACCTTTGCGGAACCGCCTCTCCATGCATATACTCGCTGAGATCCCTGGACTAAACTTCAAACCCTACAGGCCCTAAACCCTGAACCGGGATGGACATTGTTGGTGCATTGCTTACATCACATGTGACTAGGCCTGTGGAGAGCCTGCTTAGGTCAAAGGGTTTAGGCTGAACGGTTTAGGGGCTATCGAATTTGGACTTCTCACTTGTGGGGTCTTCGTTGTAGGATTGTAGAGACGATGCTTCAGGGACAAGACAACCGTCAGCAATGCTAGCGGTCGATGCAAACGGTGCTCGCTGGTGTTTCTGGTGGTACTGTACTGCTGCCCTGAATCCTACCCTCCGAACTCGTTTCAAGGTTTCGACTGCTGCGAGGGCCAGAGAGCCCAGAAAGAGGAGAATCTCACCACCATCCGACAAAGCAGACGACCAAATGCTCAGCAGTGTTCACTAACGAAACGAAGCAGAGCGCTAGAAGATCAGTTCCGAAACAGGGGATCCACAACACGAAGCTTCCAACCCGAAAACCGTTCAATCCTACGTATCCTAAACTCCCAAAGGCCCTAAACCGGGCTAAACCCCTGACCCCGTAAACCCAAAGCCGCTAAACCCTGAACCCCGAGCTCTGTGCATGGTCGAAGGCACGTCCCGGCATCCGTTGCGTCTGCTGGCGAGCAAGACCAGGCCGGTTTGACAGGAGTCATATCTTTATGCTATATACTCTGTTGTATATGTTATGTACCTGTCATACGAGCATAGGAGGAAGCCGAGTTTTATTCATGTGTGTATATTTGTATATATATACATAATGGCAAACGTGGTTGGGAATTGAAAGGTCTAGGAGGTTTTCGGATTTTTCTGTTCAAACAGTATTCACTAGTTAGTGTTCAGTTCGGCAGAGTCTGTACAGACTTCGGGTCGGGTTCCTGATGATGGCCTAGACTTGCCAGACGGTGAGGGGTTCAGGATTTACGAGACTAGGCGGTGCAGGCTTTCCGCACTCCGTGTCGGTTCAGCACATCGGCAAAAAAGAGGCTGTGGAGCAATCGCTAAGCTGTAACGACGGGTGAGACTCTTCCTTTAGGTTTTCGCTTGCCCCATGGCTGATAGATGCTGGCAGAATCAAGGCGGAATTAGCGAAGAGGTGCACCCGATATCCTAGATTGCCCGAGGTAACTGGGTGGATCTTTGTGAGAAGGTGCCCTCATGTGTGAGTGAACATGTTTGTTAGCTGACTGCTTTATTCGTTGGTTGGGCAGTTTGCTGGGTAAGCCAAGCCTTGCTGATTAATGCTCAGCCTCGTTGTTCAGGACTCCTTTGTAGATACTTGGCTACAAAAGTGGAGATCCTCTTGAACCCCTTCGTAAGCCCTGCTCGACCTGAAGGCAGCGCTGGAGTCTGCAGCCCATCAGATGCTCACGGACGTTGCGAAGAAGGCAACTAAGTCGGAACATTCTTCTAGCGATGTGCGTTTGGCGGTCTCGATGCAGTTTTCTTCGTCCGTTTGTGCAATACGCTTTTTTGGGTACTGTTGAACACGCTTTCTGTCGGGATTTACATATTGTTGCAGACGACAAGTTTCCATGCTGTTATGGACGTTGCGACGAATGCAAATCGATCGTGCTCTGCCCGGGACCCTACAATCCCAAACCCTGACACCTTAGATCCCAAACTCACCCGTAAATCCTAAACCCTCAACCCTCCAACATCCTATACGCCGTGTTAAAGCTTGATAAAGCTGTCCGAACGAGCTTATGATGCCTCCTGATGAGAAGCATCAAAACAAACACCCTTCAGCCCTTCGGCGGGGGGGGGGGGGGCCGTCTCTGTCCCAAAACGCCAGACGAATAACTTTCTTTCAACCCTCGGCCTTAACCCACAAAAAAGCCCTTCATAGGCCGAGCGTGCCGTGAGCCACGCGACGGGTTCGATGGGATCGGAGGTCGTGCCAGAGGCACCGGACCACACGGTCTGCGGGTAGGCTTCAGGGCTTAGGGGATTTAGGGGTTAAGTAGTAGGGGTTCCTTCGGGCGGGCTCAGTTTCGCAAATTATTTACGCCAGCTTCGGGGCTTATAGGTCGTTTTTGGTTTTGCGTTTTAGCGTGTCTGGGCTCGGCGTTTGGGGTTAAGGGTCTCGGGTTTTAGAGTCTAGGGCTGTTGCTAGGTGTAGCGGGTGTGAGAACCTTGAACAACTTTTTTTGCAGGGCCCGTGCAAATCAAGTTTTGGGCCTGGTACTCTTGAGACTCAAGCAAGGTAGGCTATGGCTATGGTGCTTTAAGGTGAGCCTGCTTATGTGTTGGCACTGACATGATACGGAGGGTGCAAAAATCCCACAAGCCCGCATCTTCGAAGCGTTGGCATCAAACTCTCCCGCAAGCGCTCCCCAGCATCACCTGGAAGCTTCCGAAAATTCGGGGTACCTTATTTCGGCGTCCTCATAATAAGGATCCTACTAGTTAGGGTACTATACTAGGGCTTGGCGTCCGTATAATGGGCCCAAAAAGTAGGATCCTCATTGTCAGGACCCCAAAATATAAGGTACTATACTAGGGTCCCCCTATTTATCGGCAAACTCCCAGCTGATCTTCATGGCAGGGCTTCGCCCAGGAGGAGATGGACACTGTCTTGCAGGCGCCGGGGGCTGGGCTTCGGGATTTTTGACGTGTGGTAGTTGTCAAAACTGAGGTCCCTTTCTGGGTGCCCTAAATAATAGGTGCCGTATTATAATAGGGACCCAAAAGGGACCATAATTTTGACAACAACCCACGCGTAGTGCAAAGAGTCAGAGCCTTAGAGTTGGCTTCAGAGTTCGCCAGACTCATCCGAAGCTTGCACCAGCTCCAAAACACAATTGACCCTTACCCGACGAGGGGTATACTTGGGCCCCGCAGCAATCACAGCAACGCAGGAAGTTTTAGCCAAACCCAGCACAACGCGTAGGGAAGAGGCCGACGACCACAGGGATGCTCTTGACGGCCGCATGTGGCACTCTAATGTCGCTTAACCGTGCAAGTGGTTGCTTTTCTTCTGGGGGGAGCTTGGTTTACCCACAAGTCCGGAAGTCCCTGATACCTACAGGCGCCTGCAGATCTTGTTTGTCATGTCCGTGTGTACGAGTGTCAACAACCTCCGAACCCAACACAACACTGAATCCTGGACCCTGAACGGCCCGAAACTTCAAACCCAAAAATCATGAACAACACTGAAACATGCACAGCAATCATCAAGCCATCCGGGTGGCTTGTCTGGCTTTGTGCCACCCACAGGCAGCCGCGAGCAGAGCGCAGAGCTCTGCAACAGGCTCGGTGGCAGGCACAGCGGGAACATGTCGTAAATTTCATTACGTACAAAATTGCATGCATACATACATACACACACTTATCCATGCATGCATGCATACAAGCATACACGCATTCATTCATACATGCGTATGTATATCATGCGTATGTATATCTTGTATACATATACATATGTGTGTAGATATATACAGATATAATCGCGGCCGGATTATGAAGTACAGGGTTTGGGGATATTGTACTTTACTATTTACTCGTAGATGGACTATTAGGGGATGGGGAGACAGTATCTTACATCATTCCGACCCTCAATTTCGGGCTGTCAGAGGCTAGAGTTATGGGGCTCAGGGTCTGCGGGGCGTATCTGGCGAACGCACATTCTGCTCTAACTACAAGAGGGAGCCGTAAAGGCAACTTCGACGACTTATTCAAGCCGAGCGGCCCATGGATTTGGAGTTGAGGGCAGTTTAGGGTTTGGGTTGCTGGATCGGTTTGGAGTCTTGAAGAATCATGGACCCACCCAATTATCGGCTATGGGTGTTGGATTTGGGGTTTGGGTTTTAGAGTTTGGCGGGGGGGTGGGGGCATGATCTTAGGGTTCAACTTGGGATTGTGGGATTCTCTAGTTTTGCAACTAGTGGGGGAGGGCGTATCTAGAACAGACGTTCCATAAGTACATACTTACATACTTATGTCAGACATACATATCATACATACGCAATACATACATACATGCATACTTATGTGGTGTGTATTGCGTATTACGAAAAGACACTAGTATGTGTTGCCTGACAGGGCTCGTCATGCCACTTCGCAGAACAAGCAATCATGAGCAACCTTCGGTATTTTGCGCAAATCAGACATGTGTCTACGAGCGAACAGAAAGCTAGCGCATCGCTCTTGGGTTTCGGCCTCGGGTGGTAAGAACTACAACCCTCTGCTGCGTGCATACACAGAAGGAGCCTTCTTGAAAGGGCCTTTCAACAAAGCGCCCTCGTCTTCGTAGGCTCCTATTCCTTTTCTCCGTTGCTCATTTCCTAGGCCCTAGGCGGACTAAATTCAAACCTCGGAGGTATGTATAGGACAGCTTGTCTTTAGACCTACTCGCTGGCTGCAGGCAGTCCCATAGTGCATGGGTCTGCTGGAAGCTTGACGGCTACTGCCTCGGTCGAGGGTTCGGAGACCGTAGGTATGTAAAGCCAGGGAACCGGCACATCCCACACATGTTCAAAAATCCTAAACCGTAAACCTGAATCCATAGTGCACCCCAACCCTGCGTTGAGCGCTTTTTGCCTGGAGCCTTGCCTCTGCGTTGAGCGAGCGTGAGAGTCGAGCCGTACGCCCGAAACCACATTGGGGTAAGAATCCTTTCTTTTGTGCGCTGCATGTGAAGAGTCAGTTGTATACTGCAGCGCAAGGTCTGCAGAGTCTTGCACCACAGTCGCGTGCATTGCCAGCACAACCTGTAAACCACTGGTCTTTGAATATATCGGGCCGGCCCTCATATCAAGCAACCCCATGAGCGATTGCGGCTGTAAGAATTAAAGTCTCGGATCCTGAAACCCCCGCATCCGAATCCGAGTCTTTAAAATTCAGCCCCAACCCCAGCTTTTTCAAAATGTCCAGGTTTCTGTTTCCTGCTACAGTTTATAACCCCCCCAACCCAAAGCACCATAAGTCCCACACCCCTGAGACCCGGTAAAGCCACTAAGCACCTGATACAAGCACGACCACAGCTTTTTCTCCAATCGGCAGAATCCGCGCACGGAAACCTCGTAAAACAAATCGAGGCCTTCCAGCGCTCCTGCCCTAACATTCATTTTCCCAGGTCGCAGAGCAGCTGACGGCCGCGGCCGTGACGGCGGCCCATGAGCATCCAAGGCCTCGAGCCAGTGTAGGCCTTGAAGTGGAAGGAGCTTAAAGGTTTATAGGGGGCGTGTCAGGGGTTTTGTGGGTTTTTGACCAGAGTCGCATAAGCTGTTTTTCTTCTATGGTTTTGCTAGGGCCCTCTTGGATTCTGAACAATTAATGAACCATGCGGAAGCTTTAGAGCCCTCCAGTAGGTTCTTTCCCGACTGCCCTACCAGGCTATATATTAAAATCCAAAAGTAGTTCCAGAAGCCCGGCTACGGTTCAGGGTTTGGGGCCCTCGCGACCCTTACAAAACGGTCCAGGGGTTTAAGCCTTAGGTTTTGAGGGTTCACGGTTTGGGGTGCCTTCAGACACAAAGGAGTCCCGAAGGCTTTAACAAAGCAAACGTTACAACCCATTATTCTGTGTGGAACCCTGCAGGTCCCTTTACAGAAACCTTACCGTACCCTGTCGTACGCCCCTATAGGACCCTCACAGAAGTGCTCGAAGACGAGGCCAGCGCCTGAACCGCCGAGTGCGTCACCCGAGGCCTTGCAGGCGGAGCAGGCTGGATGCTCCTTGTACCGAGTTGTTCAAAGAATGAAGTCGGGGTTTGGCAGAAAGGCAGCAGAGCTCAGTTGCAAGTCCTGAAACTTGAGACCAAGTGTTAGGTTGTGTTCTGCGTTTGCAGTGCAAGGTTTAGCATTTACGACGGTTTTGAACTCAGGCTTTACTAGCAGGATTCATACACGCTCCTGCCTTCAGGGCCCACTATATAGGCACTGGAAACCTCGGAGTTAGCACCATAAGCTCCCCTAACCCATACGTAGATCCATGAATGCCAAAATCCCCACAATGCCGAACATAGCCCTGAAGCCCTAGACCCTTAGCCCAAACTCTTAACACCCCCAAAAATCCCGCAAATTTCAAGTTTCGCCCATTTACAGTACACTCCGGAGGTCGCCGACAGCGTTGTGGCAGCAGCCGCCAGGCAAGTCGAAAGGACGCCATCTACCGCGGTCATGGAGACGGAGATCTCGCAGGCTGGCTTCTATACGGGCTATAAAAAGGTTTTTACAGGACTCGTATGGGGCTTTACAAGGGTTTATGACAGTCTTACTGGGCATATTGCTCGAAGGGTTTTCTTGGGTGGTTTGAGGATCTTATAGTGGCTGAGTATGTTACCTGGAGCCTTCCGGCGAAGTTCTATTTACATATAGTCCTCCCGAAGCCACACGCTTAACCGTCTCCCGCCAGGGAACTCTGCAACTAGGGCAATTAGGGTGAGCTAGTATTTGACTTTTCGTTGTTGTTTGAGCCCCGTCGCAGCACCTTGTGTTGATGAGTCTGGGTGTCTTATCGCAGCCGCTGCAGAAACACGCGCCTCTTCCTGTTCGGCTTTCGGCAGCCGAAATCTTAGGAAAGAAAGCTCCAAGGCTGCATACAGGGCAAGCAGAGCCACTGGAGAAGAAGGCTTACACCTTAGAATAGGGTCCGGGAAGGGATCTGTGGTTCTGTGATACGGGTTCTCATGGCATATGGGGCCTGTGATCAAGACTTAAGGGAGATTTCTCCATTCAGAGGGTATAAGGCATTACCTATGCTATTTTGGTGGTTACTTCTTATAATTATAGCATAAGATACACCAAAACCCTATTCCAAAAATTAAGGCCCCTATATAAATTAAGGATAAAGAGCCCACTGCTGGCAGGTCGCTTCGCCCCTCCCTCCGCTGGCCCTGGCCTTGGACCTCGATTCATCCCTTTTGGGCACTTTAACGGTTCCCTTAAGGGCTCTCCAAGGGGCGTTTAGGGTTCGGATGGATCCCGTTGTTCAGGGCAGGGGCTGGGCCTCGTATGACCAAGGCTTCTAAAGCGCAAGACACAGACTACGTGAGATGCGACATTACATGTCCAGGCTGGTTCTTACTTTATGAAACACACATCAGGAGTCCTAACAGAACCCCCCTCTTACCCCCTTCATATCCCAGGGCCCCCCACGTACTGTGCGAACATGCACAGAGGGTATACTGAAGGGTTTCTACGTTTCATGTTCTTGGAGGTTTAAGCGTTTTAGGGGTCGGGGTTGACCGTCTACGCTTAGGGATACTTCAGGGTTCCGAACTCTGTCAGTGGCAGGTCTTTCGGGAACCCTACCAGTTTGGATCCGATACTTCGCTTTCTTGGTCTGACATTACTTCAGATGGATTTTCAGATGTTTCATGCTGACGGTTGCTGGTTATTTCGATAACGATCGTCCTCATTGCTTTTCTTTGTGTGCTTGTTAGTCTAAACTTCTGCTTGCTCCTGCCCGAAGCCGACAGCAAGTTCGCAAGCAGTCCTAAGCCAAGGCACTCGCCACTCTGCCAACATGCCTTCAGAGCCCTTCCACTTGTCGCCTGAGTTGCTTCCCTGGAATCTCTGGCTTCCTTCTGAAAGTCGATCGAAGAGCTTTCGAAAATACGGGATCCCTGCATCCGACGAAACTAAGCAATATCCTCATCGGCAGGAACAGGTGTTGTACAGCCAGGGTGCGGGCGGAAAAAAAAGATTAAACCCTGAACCCTAATCCCTCAACTCTAACCCTTACCCTAAGCCCTAAAAGACGACTGACGAAGGTGACGGCAGAGGTCCTGGCTGCAACGCCTGGGGCCTGTTTCTTTTTCTTCTTGGGCTCGCTAGTCCCGGTTGGTGATGTAGGCTTTTACGGTTTGGTCCTTCGGGGGTTCAGGGTTCCGAGCAGTTTGCACAGTTGCAACGTTTATAGCCCCAACATAAGAATTCTACAAAGTTCCACAAAGCCCCATTCAAGTTCTGAACGCCCCATATTGGAACCCGAGTCTGTTTTGTTTGGGTGTTCGCGTAAAACTTGCAAACGATGTAGAACGATAATGGTTACGATGTTTAACGACAAGAACACGACTGAGGTCAGTTCTTATGAAGAAACTGAAGGACTTGCACCGGAAGTGTAGTTTGTATGGCTGACAAATCTGCGAGTCTCGGGAAGCTTGAGATTTCCCTTCGCGGCTTCCTTCAGAGGGGGTGCTGGGAGAAGTTCGTGACTGCGGATTCCTAACTCGTGCAACTCCATCACTGTAGGAGTGTGAGAGCAGAATTTCTGCAACATCAGAGTGTCAAGAACTCCGGGACCTTAAACATTTGGAGAATTTCAGAAAGTCAATCTACAGTAATTAGGATCGGGAAAATACCAACCTTACTCCAAAAACGTATCCCTCAGTTTTTTTATCGAACCAAATCATTTCATCGGAGCAAGTCCGCCGAGGTCGTCCGTGGTCGAAGTGGTTGCAACCGACGAGGCAGGTTATCTCCATCGGGTTCGAGGGTTCAGATTCAGGGTTCAAGACGACGGGTCTTCTCAGGGTTTGGACATGAGTCTATATAGGGTTTGGGGTGTTGCATTTTGGAGTTCGAGTTGGCGTGAGGACTTCAGTTGTTTGCGGTTTATGCTTATGTTTATCGCGCTTGGACTCGTGCATAGTATCTAAGGTTCACGGCTAGAGGGTGTTGGGCTTACCTGCCGGCTTGCAGAAGACCCTTCTATTCGGGCTACCGGCCTTTGTTTCTAGAATTTATTGGAACACCTAACAAAGAGACAAGAACAATCGGTATGTAAAACTGTCCCTTTATAGTCCCTGTGTCATTTAGCACATGCAGAGGCATACTCTCAGGAAGCCATATGATCACGACCAAGGCCTTCACGTTAGGTGTCCTGCAGTCGGAGGAGCGTTTCGTTTCTCAGCTGTGCAAAAAACATCTCTAACGAGACGCCTGTCTTCCTGTGCAGCAGCTTCAAAGCCGCAGTAGAGTTTGCTTGTGAGCTGGACCATTAAGGTCTAGGTGGACAGGAAGCCCGAAATGCAAAGCCCAAAGACCACCCTTCAAGCCTGAACCGTTGGAGCTGTGAGCTGGAGGCTGATATGATGTTACTTGGGAACCCTTTAAAGTTCTGGCTGAGGAATCTACCCGAAATGGTCGAGGTGAGATCCTTCATGGAGGGATGTTGGGCTTTTTCAATTTACATTCCGGCTACCAAAGCAGCTGTAGCTGGGATCCCGCCCCCCCGCCCCACTACCCGACAACCCTCTATTCAGCAGCCAGGCTATCTTGGCTCGCAACTTCATAGCCCAGATTGATCTTTCGATACGATACCTGCTGCCATAAGGAGTGATTCACATCCTCTTTGCACCAGAATTCTCATGCGGCGGAGCCCGAGCCTCACCTAAATTTTGAGAGCATATTGTGAAAAAAGAACTACACAAACCCGCAGCATATCGCACCCTGTAATTGACGTGATCCCGGAAGGAGCCGGAGGCTCAAGTTCCCGCCGCAAAACCGGTGGTGGAGGAAGCACCAGGACACCAAGAGCACGGCAGCTCAGTGTATCAGAGGTCTGAATACTTGGCAAAAAAATCCCTGCCCAAGCGTCTAAAACCAGTAACCATTGGAAAAAGCTTTCGAGCTTGACCCATATGGCAACGCCAGGATACCTCTTCAGGAGTGACGAGCTAGTCAATGCTATCCCTGTGTAGTCCTAAAGGAAAAAGCTATTGTACGATAAAGAATGTCCAGGTCCTTGTGCTAGTTCTTGAGTCTTGAGGTACCCTATATGTGGGATCTTCTGAAGATCCTTGTGGCTCCCGTTGCCTCCTAGCTCAAGGGCTGTAGCCGTCTGTTGATGAGTCGTAGCCTGCCATTTTGTAGGATCAGCGGCCGGAGGTAGTAATCATATTGTTTGTCCGCTTATTGATAAAAATAAAAGTATAATCTAACCCAAACCCTGTGGCAATTATTCAGGCGGTAACATTAACATCTCCCAGCCTTGCAAAAAGGTGCTGAAGGGTTTCGTCATGGTGTTGTTAGGTGGTTTGAGCTTTAGGGTTTGGGGTTGTTCTTGTGGGCTTGGGCATGAAGGCATCATTCTGTGCACGTCGCAGGATTTTGGGGGCATCTTCCTTCTTCAGCCCCCATGTGTCTCTAAGGCTGAAGCAGCCTGAAGGTTGAAAGCGCAAGCCGCCCCGAACCCCGAAGAGATGAGCTAGGGGTTTAGGATCTCCCCAAGTCCAATGGAAACAATGGGGTAGAGGGTCGTTTATAGCTGTCGTTCCATCCGCTTAGGTCCGGCCATCTCTGTCTTGGGACCTCTGTAGGCTAGACTACAATTATCAGAGTGCAAGGCCACACGCGCCAGTTGCTTTTTGGATCCGACATGGCTAACTACTGGTTTATGAGTTAGACATATTCGTTGTCCCCCCTCCCCTCCGTTTTCGCACACCCCCGAGGCCACCGGATGTCCCTGCAGCGTTGGCACCCCAGCCGGCACCAGCTCCATCGCAGGGAGCTGAGCTTGAGGACCCGGGCCCATGTTGCCAAGAGTCGATGCCACTTTCGGGCCTCTTTTTTGAGGATTGGCGTTTCATAGTTGCTTGTCACGTGGTTCTTTTGTCCTATGAGATTTCTGCTTGCCTAGATGTGGTCTTTTCTGTGGAGAACTGGATGTTCGTTTTTTACTGTGTTTACAACGAAGCTTGAGATATCCCCAAAATCTGGGGATACTTCAGGTACGGCCCCCACTCAGTAATAGTTGAATATTATTCATAATATAGATATAGTAGTACCTTAATAGTAGCCCTATTATAGACTCTTACTGTATGGGGGCCGTACCTAAGGGATACTATGTCAGGAGCTTGTGCTGGGCCGGGTTGTTCGGAGGGGAGAGCTATCTGCGGGTTCGAAACCGCAGCTTCGTAAGCTGAAAGTCCCTGATGCTCTCAATGTGGATCCTAGTAACCCACTAAGACTACTTGGAGTGCTTTACCTCATACTTACGGGGTAGTGGCTTCCTATTTCGTTGTGCGAGGGGTTTTTGGGGCTACAGGAGAAGTTTGACACCTTTCAAGAGTCGTAAACCTGGATGCCCATACAGTAGTTAGGTTAAATCAGGTGAAATCGGGCCTCAACACACCCTCTTTGCTGTGGCCTTTGGAGCTTCAACAGTCACCTCATATCATAAAAGGGGCTTGTAGAAATAGGAGCCGCGTCCCTCTAGTCCCTACATACTAAGCACATCATGCTACATGCCGAAACCTTGTCTGGTGTGCAAAGGCCTGCGGCATGCACAATCAGATCGCGTTTATGGGGCTTTATGCCAGGATTATATTTGGGAACCCTGAGGAAGAAGCTAAACATGGCTTCCTGGCACCTTGATGCTGGGCAGCTGGGCTGCTAAAGCTCTGAGCCCATGATCCAGGTCGGAGGTTGGTCCCGCTTCAGTGGCATCCTCGGATTTTCAGACGAGTGCAGAGATTCTACGGGCGACAAGGGTTTAGGATTTAGAACTTAGGGTCGAGTCGCTTGTAGGATGTGAGCCGAGGATTTAGGCTTAGGAGGCTTTAGTGTGGCCTTTGAGGGTATCGAGTCTGTTCTTCAGGTTGTTCAGCCTTTGCTGTTTATGTACGTAGTGTACGTGTTCCGGTGGTCAAAATTTCCGAGCCGCCGCGTTCTTTCGGCTTCGGAGTTGGCAACTGTGGGGAGATCTAGCAGTGCTTACCAGATGCTTGTGAAACCCTCTAGAAGTCAGGGTAGCAAAACACAACCCTAAGCGGCCATGAAGGGGGGGCGAATACGAACTTGCAATCGAAGCCGCTAAGGTTCACGCCAGCTCTGCTGCGGCTTCGGGAATGGGGCTCGGTGTTGCGCGACGTGACATTTGCAGTTCTGCTACTCGTGAGAACCTGCAATCTTGTTTGAACATATGCAAACCGTGGTCCGTTTCGAGTTTCAGGTTCTGAGTAGCGAGGTTTAGTCCACCCGGGCGCCGGGATTCAATCTAAGCTAATGGAGACCCTTGCTTCCTAATCACCCCTCCCTTTATAAGCCTTTTGGTAGGGAGGAGAAAAGGCGCTTGAAGAAAGGAGCTTCGATGCCTCCGGGGTCTAAATTGTGGTCGCCTGGGTTAGGCTCGCGGCCTATACTGACTAAGCTGCTAGTCTTTCAGGCCTGCTTTCAGAGGAAACCCAGCCTCGCTTGTCCTGTTCGAGCTTTGGATGTCAAGGGCTGCAGGACTTCAGGGTTTGGGGCTGTGCACCCAAGACCTTTCTATGAGCCGAACCCTCTTCAAACCTCAGGGATTCTCTTTCCTTGGTGTATGAGGTGCTGGCAAGCCCTCCCTTCGAACCGGTAGGAAAGCCTAAGCCATAAAGACCCGAAGCCACAAAATTCACAACCCGCCCATAATAAATGAACACAAGCAAGGACATGCTAAACACCATGAGCTGTCAGCTAGCTTTGCTCAGAACCGAGGCACGGCGGGCCTTGACATTGTGCCCCGTTCTGAGCAAGGCTCGGCAGAGGGAGCAGTTTCTCTGAGTTCTTCTACACGTCTGGGTGTGGCGCTTTTAGGACTCAGGGCTGACAGGACTTGCCGCTTATGGGGTTTAGGTAGATTTTAGGTTCGGGGTTGTTTGGATCCAGGGCTTCGGACTTACGATCGGGGACGACGGCGTGGGTCCGAAAAGTTAGGTTCGTCGTGAGCTATAGCAGTCGTTGTGACTGCTGCATCTGCTGTTATGTCTGCGGCTTTCCTGTTTTGCATCGCTTTGGCCTGATTTTGGGGTTCGACTCGAAGGATGGAGAGGTGTAGTAAATCGGTTATGTGAGTTGTGGGTTCGATTACAGAGATATGTGGAACATGCTTGGATGCCCACCGTGGTCTAGGACCTGTTTGTCGTAACCCCTGCCCCTACTCGACTACTCGAGTTCATTCATTGCAAAGGCCCTTAGCACCACATTGGGCCCCAAGCCGCAAACGGCAAGTCGGAAGCTTCAACAAACTTGCCGTCCAGGCAGCTGTGTCTTGGCAGTTATTCGCAGAGGGCAGGTTGAAATTTGGGCACAGTCTGGATCTACGACTTGGGATTTAGGGCTGATGCTTGTTAGGCTTCATGACTTTGTGGTTGTACAGGTTTGGCAGAGGGTGCACTGGGTGGACCAATGTGGTGTTCAAAGTTCGGGGTGCGCGCCAGGCCAACCGATCGCTTCCACGCCCGCAGACGAGGTGAATGCCGATGTGTTTCTGCATTGGTAGCCCTGAGCCAAGACCCTACCTGTGGCACTGTAGCCCGAAACGCTACGATTTAGGAGGTCATGACACGGGCATGCCCCTAAACACCGGAGGCGAGTACGCTAAAGTCGAGGCCCAAGCCATGGTTATCTCCGGCCCCTTGTGCAGAGCCTGTAATATGGTTATGGAAGGCTCCCGAAGTGCACAGGATGAGCGTAATATGCCCCCAAAGCGCATGTTCACGATTACAACGCCATTGTTACGGAACCCCCCGGCAAACCCTGACCTTGAGCCCCAGTAGCCTCCCCAACTCTCCGTGCTAAGCTATTCTTGTGTCCTAAATTATAATCTAGTATAATATAACATAGGATTATATATATATATATACATATACATATACATATACATATATTAAATGTCGTGCTGATGCTTACCTTGGGGCCTTGAGGGCTGGAAGGTTCCAGGGTTCAGAGCTCGAGCTCTTTGAGCTAACGCTGAGTAGCTGGGTGGATACACTTTACACTTTTTGGGGATCATTTTACACTTTTTGGGTGATAAGTTACACTTTGGGGGGATAGTTTACACTTTTGGGGGATAGATAATTTACACTTTTGGGTGATAATTTACACTTTTTGGGTGATAATATTACCCACTATAAAACTGAAAGTGTGCACTATTTGGGGGCTTATCAACTCAGCAACTAAGGGACATGACCACTTCGGCCAAGGCTATGTTACAGTACAAAAAGCGGGCCCCTGTCTGATCAGCCGTGCCTCTACAATCCTGCTTGGTACGACTATTTCCGGTGGTTTCCAGAATCGGCTACTAATGTTGGAGTCTGACTGCTTCGAATTAGTGTTCCTTATAGTCTGTGCTTTAACTTACTACGATCCCAACGCCCATTCCACTTCTTACAGCTCAGAAATTGCATGCTTTGGTTCCGATCCTTCGGAGCATGGGTCGTCTTCTTGACTGGCAGATAAGGAACCTGATTTGGGGCTCAATCTGGAGGTCTGAATACGTATCGTTGCGGAAAATTCTGCAGGCTTCCAGATTGGGCCATAGGTGGGTGCAGGTCCCACGATAAAGTTTTAAAGGTTTCGTGTTCAAGGGTCACAGACATTCAGAGCTCGTCATGTTTAATCTACTTTAGTGCAGGGGCCACAGGCACCTCTGAACCCTCATCCCACAGGCAACGGAGGCGGCATCGGCTTCGGTGGTCCATGAGTCGGGCGCCGAGTTCACTTGGTGGATGCGCGAGATTTCGCAAGTACGACCCTAAGGGCCCATATAAGTATGTAGATGTGTATATGTATATATGTATACGTATGTAGGTATGTATTTACATATGCATGTGTGTTTGTGTGCGTGTGCGCGCCGATGAGTTTGTAAGCATAAACCTACATCTGAACATATTCTTTTGCACACGTATACATACATGTATAAACAAACCCATGCATGTAATTTGCCTTACTACTTGTTACTGCTACTTTCGAATTGTCCTTACCTTCCTTTACCTTACCTTGCAGACATACATCGTGACCGTAGTGTCTGTGAGGATGATATTGAACAATAACTTGCATCCTGGAAGGCACGAGTACACCAGTTCTCTTACAGTTCGTGCCATCATTCCTGTCTCAACATGGGAGAAAACTGTAAGACCCGGAAACCCGAATCACAAAATTCCCGATGTCCCCTGACCCTAAAGAACTTCTACGATGCCACAACAACTCCAGCCCCCTTCAAGAATCCAAACTGTTAAATTATTCAAGCATCGCAAAACATCCTGAGAAACACCGGATTCCCGAAACCTGAAACCTCATTCTCGCTTTGGCTGGGAAGTGTCCCCGAATTGTGATCGCCGAAACCTGAGGACAGGCACGTCAGATCTCCCGGCACAGCAGTTGCTACCACGACCTTCGCAGGATGCAGGAGATCATGAGGAGGCGGTATGAGACTTCCATGGTGCTATGGCGTCTTCATGTCTGTTTTCTGTGTTGGTTTGCCTTAGTTCGTGTTGTAATTTGGAAGGGTGTCTTTCGAAGTTGCGGGCTGAGCGTTTGGGATTGCTCAGATCTCGGGTCAGAAGCTTCAGGGCTTCCTTTACAGTCTGCTATAGTCTCCTTAAGATTTATTTTTAATTTTGTTCATATAAGCCCAGGAGAGCATTAAACATATTATTTTTTGTTATGGTCCTAAGGGGGTATAATCTGAAATTCAGGGTCTTGCGGTTTCGGGCTTCTGTCGCCCTCGGGCTGAGATTTGGAGCTTGGGACCGTGGGTTTTTTACCGCCACCCTGCGGACGGCATGATGTCCCGAAGCTCAACATAATGGACTGGTGCCAAGCTCGCAAGCAATAGCAAACCACCTGTATTGTTGAGGATTGAGTGTGCAGAGTGCGGTGTTGAGTTCCCCAAACCCTAAACCGTGTTTGCGCTTTGAGGGGCTGCTGTCAGTTGTGACCGTGCACTATGCTTGTACACTTGCTGGTTGGCTTTTCCGAGGTCGTGTCTGACAGCGACTCTGAGTAAGTGAAACCAACTACTCAGAGCAAACCTGTAGTCTCGTCGAACCTACTTCTGCAGACCTTGCCAGGCTTGTCCGAGTGTGAGTGTCAAAAAACCCTAAACTCTAAACCACACCTTTGTGAATCCCTAAAAAAGGGACCCTGTTATAGTAATTCACCCTAAAAAAGCACCCAATTTATCCCGGAAGGGGGCCCTCAAAGGCAAGCCTTTCAGTGCGCCCTAGGTGGTCAGTGCTTCGCACAGCGAGGTGCACGAAGGCAGGGCTTTGGGATTTTGTTTTGAGATCGGTGGGGGGGGCTCAAGTGCAGGGTTGGGAGGGGCTCTTCCTAAGCCTCGAAACCTAAACACTCCCAACCTGAAACCCTAGACCATGATACACCCCAAGACCCTCAGCCCCAGACCTCTCAGCCCTAAAGTGTGTTCGGTTGCGAGATCCCGAACGGCACTTCAAGAATTTGAGATAGAAGCCCTTCGCCCGAAGTCCATTCAACCCCTAGCCGCCCCTAGCCCCCTGATGTTGCAGAACACCGAAGCTGTAGCAGCAGTCAGCCGTGTCTTGCACGAGCCGGAGAAGGCCCTAAACCCCTAAACCCGAAACCCCCGAAAGCTCCTATCCTCAAGCCCTGGAGCCTTCCGAAAAGTCCCCGTAGAGCCTGCAGGGCGCCTTGGTGAGACAGTCGTCCACGACATCCTCCACTCCGTGGCCGAGAAAGAGGCATCGGGTTCAGGCTGTAGGGGTTTACAGGTTTGGGCTGCAGGGTTCGGGGTTCAGGATGAAAGGTCTTGTAGTTCGTAGTAACTAGTACCTGGTAATATCTTCGCGGGCTTGGGGTCTAGGACTAGGATAGGGGCCTTACTGTTTTCTGTGGCTTTGGGTAAACAACTCGGGCCGTCTGGTCTAAGTTGCCGTCTTTCTTTGTTTAGGGCTTGCGGTCCTGGGGCAACGCAGGTGCTATCGAGAGAATCAGTTGTGTCTAGAAGATGTCGGCTGTCATAGCTGGAATTTGACATGTATTGCTGCTGCCTCCGGCTACTTCAGATCTACGCAGTTCCAGTGAGTGCCGAAGTTAATCCTTGCCAGACTCAAACCCACTCCTAAGTCTCGTTCCTTGCACAGGAGCCTGCAACTGCTGTTGCGCCAGGGCCTTTGGTTTTTTTGGGGGATGAGGGCTTCAGGCTCAGGGTTCAGTTCAGTTCAGGGTTCCGGCGCTTTGAAATTCCCTTGCCGCCTCGGGGGTTTGCGGCGTACACCCTATGCAATCCTGCCTTCTCGCGCCCGGTAGCTGAAATCGAAGGCCGTCTCTAGCTCAGACTTGCGTGTCTGGGTAATGTGACGTGGCATGAACGACTTCAGCATTCGGAGTTGAAGGCATGAGTCATGAGCGACTCGCTGGCTTAGCAGAACCTTGCAAGCGGCAGTGCACAGCATCGGTTGACCTTCGATCCTTGAAGCCCGAAGCGTTGAAGTCTGAACTCCAACTTGAAACTCTTCGGCAAATGTCGACTGTTTCGAGCATCCTGTAGCCCTGAAAGCAAGATTAGAGTTGCTTTTTCATCTGATGTCTGGCACACTGCCTTCAACGGACAGCAGGGCTCTCTTGGATGCCAGGTTCCAGTGGAACCCTCATGTCCAGAAAGAATGCGGACACTTTGATTTTCATCCTGAGTCGACCCTAAGTGTCCCTAAACCATAAAGCCCCTACAGTAAAGTTTCAGAGAGTTGGAACATGTTGGAACATCATTATCCTCCTGCTCCTACAGTCGAAATGTAAAGTAGAGGGAATCCCAGTATGAATCGTCCAAAACCTGTGTTCCAATTTTCGGGGCCCCCTTACTCCTGCAAGTGGAATACAGAAGACCCAAGCTCGAGAACCCGGGGAGATGTTCAGGTCGTCACCGAGAGAGGTGCAGGTGCCGAGTGAGTGGATCACTCCGCAGGTGCCTCGCGAACAGACATTTTCTGTGGGTCTCAGGTTTGGACTGCATTCGAGGCTTTGGCATGTAAGACTCAAGGTTTTGTCTCGCTTTGGAGCTTGGTAAGTTTTGAAAACGGCCGTGTTTTGGTAGCGCACGGAATGTTGAGACCCTCGTGTTGGAGGGGCATACATCGTTGTTTGGGTTTCTTGGCTCGTGGTCGCAGAGCAAATCAAGCCCCAGAAGCCCTGTGGTTCTGATCAGTAAACCCTGGCACCCAAGCTGAGCCGCTGAAGCCAAAAACGATCCTAAACCATCCTGGACTCCAACGCCTTGAACCCAAACACAAAAGCCGTAAAATCCCAAACCGATGCCAGGATTCCATATCTTCAGGTTGGTATTCTGTTCGGTTGACGTAACATTTCAACATCCGAACCTTAAAAGCTCAACTGCATAGGAAGGCACCTGAAGTCTGAAGCGCCGGAGTTCCATGGTAGGAAGGTATCGCCCAACTTGGGAAATCCTGAGCCCCACACCACGCTGCATCAGCAAATGCCCTAAGAAGCGATGAGGTTATAAACATTCAGGGTTCGGGCGGTAGGAGGCAGGAATTAATGCTCCCGGTTCTCATCTCAGGGCCCCGACAAAACTGAGTTCTCGCAGTAAGTCCTTGGCTGAGACGACATCCCTCCGTCTTCCCAGCTCACGCATCAGGCACCAGCCGACTCTGCACCGGGATCTGCGGCACAGCACCTCGCCGGGAGGGGGTTTGTGCATGTGTCAAATATTGTGGCTTTATGTCAGTTACAACTGTTATCTAAGAGTCTGATACTCATAAACTCCCGGGGCCTTGATCCTCGTCTGAAACCGCCTAGACATGCTAGAGCTTGTTTGTTGCGCTGGGATTTACGGGCGGCACTCCGAAGCCTGCCCTAAAAGAAGCCTCAAAACCTATCGGCGGGCTTCATTTTGGGCTCTAGAAGAGCTTTACCAGGGTTTATCTGGCATGTAATGCAAGAAAGTAGCCTTAACCCTAACTGCGGCTGAGCCGCATTGCGGCACCACATGACTCATCTCCGGAATGTTGTGTCAGCTATGTGTTATCACGCTGTGACTGGACATGTCTAGCAACAACTAAGAAAGGCTTCATTGGGTTTAAAGTTGTCGAAGCAGTCCAGGTTCAGGGTATATTCGCCCTAAGCCCGAGTCTTCAGGACATAGAAGCGTTTGAGCCGATCTTCAGCCTCAGATATCTTGGTCGGGTTCCGCATTCCGAAATGGTAGCTTCCAAACTCCAGAAATGCGTTTCTTGAATCCAATCTCGTAGGTGTTTGCAGGCAGGGTCGTCCTTCACAGAATGGTCAGTTCGATTCAGTCATTTCCGTTACGGGGTTCCTTGTGCCACGCGAGGTATAGGGCCCTGCTGATTCTCCTACTAAATTGTAAGGACAAGCCCTCTGACGAAACCCGTGTTTCAGCTAGGCTCGAGTTTGGGGCTTGCATCATGAGGCGCATGATTCCTTCAGGTTCCCGGGCATCTGTGTAATGTTGCGCCTCCGATTTCCTCAGTGCGGCTTATGATGAGCACCGGATTCTGCACAGCTCATGTTTCTAGGTTTAGAGCCCAGATGCTACAACATGAGAGAGGTATATAGAGGGGGATAAGTTAAGCATACTACAGTTGCGCATGGGTGACAGAAGCATAGCGCTACGACGACCAAATTGGCACCAAGAATAGAGATTTGTGGCTAGGCGTTCCGGCCATCATGTTATGCACTCCCTAGGCAGCCCGGCGAGACAGTGACGCCAGCACCAGTGGCTGCGTCAGAAGCTCAGTTGGTGCCTCCGGCAACGATGCCCATCCTGCATGATGGATAGCAGCTGCTTTTCCTGGATAATCCCGTTAGTTTGTGGTAAGGATCCAACAAAAACTAGGGTCACCAAAAGAAGGCAACCACTGCATTCCAGGGTCTTGGGAGGGTTACCATACCGTAAGACGTCCAGAGCACTAAACGCAATACTTACCATGATTCGATTATGATGATTGCTAGACAGGCCTCTGCACATTTGCTGGGCACAGTTAAGGGAGCCGACTACCCACATCAACCACTCCCAAATGCCTGGTATTATGAAGTTTGTTTCACCTGGAACCTTCGTTCTCAGGACATCTCCCGTGCCAAGCGAGCACTTCTCCCACGCCGAGCAGGTTGGGGTACTATCGGTCTGAATGACTCGCAATAGCATATTCTTGATTGCCCGGTATAATTATAGTCACATGACGTACAAGAAGAGCTGCCCGAAGGTGCCCCTACCGAAAACTAGGTTCACCCCAAACCTTCGCTTGCAGCAGTCGAGCGCGAGTGCTAGAAAATTATGGTCAAACGATCTGCCCCACAATTCTTCATCACTAAGGACCCTGTTGGCTTGCATCATGTCGACCCAAGATCCGATCCAGGGTTTGAAGGCGGAAGGTTTCGAATTTGTGAAGTCAGGTGGGAGAGCTTCGGGTTCAAGGTCTTAAGGAGTCTTGAACCTGGACACGCGACAGGTTACCCCACAACTCGAAAGCTCTACAGCTACAGGTTTGGTGTCTTGGGCTAGGCGCAGCTTTCTATCTTTCAAGGTTGTGAGCATGACGGCCTCCTTCCTCCGAGGACACATTTCCAAACTGTATCTTGGGTCCCGGGTTTGCTGGAGCGTATGGTAGGAGCGATTCGAGTCACCACAGGGCTTGGCTCCAAAAGGCAGGGAGTCAGGTTTCTGCGCGTGTGGGGCATGGAGGGGACAGACCGGACATCGGAACTGAAACGGCAGATTGCTTGGCCCAGACCCTCAGCCCAAAATCATTGCTTGCATCGCGTCAGGCACCCGCCATTGCAGGGCCAGCCGCAGAGCCGCTTTACCAACAATGGCAGCAGACACTGGTTGTTTGATGTAAGTAGTGATCGGGATATCTAATTAGTACTGTTTTCTGATGGGTACCATGGTGTAGTAATTTCAGCTATCCAGCTCGGTTCTAAACAAGCAGCAGAACTCCCTACCCCTCTGTATCTGTCTTGACGTAGACCTTAGTAACCTTAGTAGCTGAGGGGGTAACCTTTAACCTTTTGGGGTTTAGGAAAACCCAACCATAATTGAACAAGTTAGCCTTTTTCGGCCTAGGGTACTCAGCCCCTAAGAGAAGGGACAGGAAGAGGAAGGATGGCTCCTCCAGAGCTCTGGAGCTTCAATGGACCACATAGTATAGGGGCCTGAAGAGTTAGCAACACTATCTTGGGGGCTCCTTTTCATGATTACAGTATAATATACCCCAAAACCTATCATTATTATTATTACTATTATTATTATTATCATTAATTATTATTATTAGTATTATTATTGTTATTATTCCAAGCATTAAAGGCCCCTACAGCAGCTTCTCAGCGGCCCAGAGCCCAGAGAGCCGCCGAAGGTCCCTCCAGAAACCCCCGCGCCCGCTTCCGATAAGCTTCTTGGTTGAGGAAAGCTTACACCCTATACAGGGAAGCATATTATAGATACCCAGAAGTACCCTTGAAAAGACCTGCACCCTATAAAGGGACGCATATGGCATGTCATAGATACTCATAAGTACCCTTGAAAAGGACCTTCTTATACAACCCCATAGACCCTGCTGACGGCTGGGTCTTCAAAAAACCCCGGCTACAGCCGAGGCATCCTGCGGAGACAGCGCCTACGACGGTTCCGGTGGCTGCGCTTGCTGCTTAGATGAGGGGCCCCAGTGGTCTCAGGGTTTTGGGTAGGGAGGCGAGAGTTTGGGCCTGAGGTTTAGGGTACTCTTATTTTTGGAGCTCTTTGCGGCTTGCCGGCCTTTTCCCAGAATCCTACATCTTACAGCCCGCAGGCCAAAAACCCTCGAACCCAAACTGCAATGTGCTTCAGGCTCCCAACTCCAAAACACACTGTCGAAAGTACAGCGCAGATGGCTTGGGGCGCTTGAGGGATCGAGATTTCAGCATCCGGGTTGCGGATGGGCATAGGACGAGAGAGGATGCCCGCATGTAGGCTCAGGTCGATCTGGCTTGATGCTTGCGGTTTTGGGATCTCCGGTTTAGTATGCCATTCTCCGGTCTCCAAAGTGCCAGAATGTCGGATTCAAGCCTCGACATTGCATTGTGGATATGTTCGTTACTTGTTGACGACTGGTGTTTGGGGTTCAGGGCCTCAGGCTAGATCCTTGCATCGCGGCCGTTCTGGCTAGCTCCCAAGCCCAGTTGCAACAAAAAGGCCTCAGGATATTCTAAGATCTTTAGGGCTTGAGTTCAGTGGAGACGGGGTGTAGCTCTTTCTTCAATGGTTTGGAGGCAACGAGCAAGCCACAGCTTAGAAAACCCCGCTGGACCGTCAAGTCTCCTATAGTACCCCCCATAAAGTTGGAAACCGGATTAGGGCCAAATAATGCTGGGATTCCCTTGGGGATTGAGGCTATTGAGTTTCCAACTTTTGGGCTTATACTGTAAGCAGGCTCATGGTTTCACGGAAGTTTGCAGCCCAGGCCCTCTCCTGTGCCGAGCGAGCCTGTGGTCCCGGAGGCGCGGAGGGACGAGCCTGCTTTTGGGAGCGACCCTGACTGCCCAGGAATGCATAGACTTTTTGTATCGATTCAGCTGGTATGGGATACGTAATACGTATGCCCAGCGCACCCGGAAGCGAGCTGCCTCCTAGGGCCCCGGACTGGGACAGCGCTTTGAATTGAGGTATTGGTTGGGGCGTTGGAAGGATTGAATTCTCAAACCCTTATGCCCGAACGCCCTATGTTCAGATTTTTGTTTGATTTTGCAGGTTTGAGTGTGTTTTGATTGTATTTCCCATCTAGGACTTGGGTCTTGGTTTGGTTGGAGGAGCCCGCGTTGTAGGCTTTCGGATGAGGTTTTTGCCGCCCGGGACTTGGGTTGAGGTGGACTTGAAATACTGATTGGGAGGGTTTCGGGGTGCCCCTTCCAGAATCGAATACAAACTTTTCATGATCGCTTCACAGCAACGGCCGGCAGATCGACCATGACCCAGCGTCTCACAACTCCACAAACGAGGCAAGAAGGATAGCCAATATCCGCTGGTTCTGATTGACAAGCCAAAACCCGAAGCTCAAAAGGACAACACATAGAACCCGGAAAAGGCTTGCACCCAAAGTCCTGAATACCGGAAGGGGCCCCTAAAGGACCGAATCAGCAAGCCTACAAACCTTCCATAAGCCATAAACCCTTCCAGACTTCAAGCCGTAAACCCTTAGCCAGAAACCTCAGGCAGGTTCGAAGAAGCACTCAACCCAAAATTCCCATGTTATCATAACCCCAACCCCCCCTGAGCTTGAAGCCCAGCGCCTCAAACGTCGAAGGCGCCAAGTGCGCCGGGAAGCGACCATGGGCCCACGGCATCGGGGCTCAGAGTTCCAGTCGTCGGTATATGGGAATTTCCGAAAATTCGGGGTACCTTTTGGGCTCTTTATAATAAGGATCCTACTATCTAGGGTAGTATATCTTAGGCTCCCCTATTTTCGGAAACCCCCAATATAGGACATGGCCCTCATCATGCAACTGCAGTTCTGAGGGCCTTACCATGGTATCATATGGGGATATTATCGTGTTTTAGCAGGGTCTCTACACCCGGGCATGAATCATGAGAATAGGGTGTTGGGGTGAAGTAGAGTATCTATTCTTCGAAAGGGACTAGAAGGGAATATTGCAGAGTTAACTACTCGGACCCAATATAGGATTGAGCAACCTGAGGAGCTTCGATGGGGCTGTATGGGGGAAGATGGGTTCATAGACCGGGAAGGTCCGGTCTGGCATTTTTCCATTTATACGCCCTTCACCTAAACAGATGCTCTGGAGTTTAGGGTGCCTGGATCCACCGAAGAGGTTGAGGGAAGCAGCTCGCGGGAGGGCTCGGGCCAGGTATTGGGATCCTTTTGATAAGGATTCTTTAGAAGGGCCCCCCACCCTGCAGTAGTGGTATAATAGGAATAGAATAGGGCCCTAATTTTTTTAATCCTGAAAGCCACTATTACAGGGTGGGGGCCCCTTCTAAAGGATTCTTCTGCTCATGATGTAGGGCCCGGGTTGATGTCAAGGCTGTTGGATTCCTCAACCTCCACATCGTAGAACGCTACGTAAGTAGTGGTGCCGTAGGACACCGTCTTGGGTTTAGGACGTTTTGTTTTGGAGTGTTCGGTCTGATCAAGTCAAAACCCTCCTGTACCAGGGATGAAAGTATGGGGTCCTTGTCTTAAGGCCGCCAGGGGAGTTTTGGGTGACTAGTTGATGTTAGGAGGTAATTGAGTCTCGCCTCCGAACATGGGCCGCAGCAACGAGGTCTTCAATTTTGAGAGTACTGTGAGACGCATACCAAGCTAAGACCGTATGTAACCGTAAAACACCCTGAAACATTGAAGGCACCGAGTGCAGCAGGAAGTGAACATCCCGCAGGGGACCAAGAGTTCCGGTTCTGAGGCATGCTCAAGGCCTCAAGGATTAGAACCCGTCTTATTTGGCCTTAGCAGAAGGAAGACTGCAGCTCTGAAGCGCGCAGTTTGGTTTTGCAGATTATATAGTTATGAGCCGGCAATGTTACCAATTATACTCTGTATTTTTGCGCGCACACACACACACTCTGCAACATATCGCAAAGAATACAGTTATAACTCCAGAACTTTGGACATTGAATCAGGTGCCAAGCGTGCCAGGAAGTGAACATCCTGCAAGGGCCCCGGTGATGTTGAAAGTCTTTTGCACGTCCTCGGAGACCTACGGTTTGAGGCTTAAGATTGGTATGATTATAAGGCTTAAGGTATAGAGTAGTTTGTAGTGTGCCTAGAAAGTATCCAAAGGTTTTTTCGGATGTAAAAAAGTATGCAGTGACCCCAGGTCCAGATTATAGAACGCTACGGGACTTCGGGGCATCTTGGTCACCCAGCCGTACCTTTACACCCCTTCAAGTTTGAGAGTAGGCATATTCAGCACCCATATCTCCACAAACACGCACCGCCGCGGCATCGGATACGGTCGATTTCAGAATAAGAGGGGAATCTATGAAGCAGGGTCTGTCCTTTGGTTCTGGTAGCACTCGCGTCTTCACAGGCAAATCAAGGCCCGTAGCCCAAGACCCGCACCCATGTAAACTGGAAACCCTTGAACCAAAACCCGGCTTCAATCCGCTTGCAAAGCCTTTGTAGAGGGTTAATGCCCACAAGCCCTGACTATCTTACACTAGTCCCACGTAGCATCCGCTGCCGTCGAGGGATTCGCCCAATCCTTGCCCCGCCCCCCCCCCCCTCCCCCGCCCAAACTAAGACCGTATGTAAGCGTAAACACCTTGAAACATCGAAGGCACCGAGTGCAGCAGGAAGTGAACATCCTGCCGCAGGGGACCAAGAGTTCCGGTTCTGAGGCATGCTCAAGGCGTCAAGGATCTGAACCCTTCTTTGAACATAGGTTCGCGATGCTTCAGGGTATAATACAGGGACCTGGCTGATGAGTGGAATATGGTTTGAGCCGGTGTTGAGGTCATCGGATGTTGACGGACTTCCATTGGGCCTTAGCAGGAAAGGAGATTGCAGCTCTGACACGCGCAGTATAGGTTTGCAGATTATAGTTATCAGCCGACAGTGTTATCAATTCTTGATTACTGCCCCCCACTCTGTAGCATATCACAAAGTTAACCCCGTAGCCTTGGACATTGAATCAGGTGCCAAGCGTGCCAGGAAGTGAACATCCTGCAAGGGCCCCGGCGATGTTGAATGTCTTTTGGACGTCCTCGGAATGTTACGGTTTAAGGCTAAGGATTGGTATGGTTATAAGGCTTAAGGTTTAGAGTGGGTTGTAGTGCGCCTAGACAGTATCCACAGGCTCTTTCGGATTTATAAAGTATAAAGAGTATGCAGTGACCCCAGGTCCTGATCATACAACGCTACTTAATAAGTAGTGTACTGTAAACGTGTGCCAGGATGCTGTTTTGGGTTTAGGACGGATTCGGTCTGCTTAAATAAAAGCCCGGGACTTTGGACTTTGGGGCATCTTGGTCACCCAGTAGTACCTTTACACCCCTTCAGGTTTGAGAGTATGCATATTCAGCACATGCGAGAAATCTGCTTCCAAAACCCAAATCACCACAAACACGCACTGCCAGGGCATCGGATACGGTCGATTTCAGAATAACAGAGGAATAAATGAAGCAGGGGTTGTCCTTTGGTTCTGGTAGCACTCGCGTCTTCACAGGCAAATCAAGGCCCATAGCCCAAAACCTGCACCCATGCAAACCGGAAACCCTTGAACCAAAACCTGGCTTCAATCCGCTTGCAAAGCCTTTGTAGAGGGTTAATGCCCACAAGCCCTGACTATCTTACACTAGTCCCACGTAGCATCCGCTGCCGTCGAGGGATTCGCCCAATCCTTGCCCCGCCCCCCCCCCGGCCAAGCTAAGACTGTATGTAAGCGTAAAACACCCTGAAACATCGAAGGCACCGAGTGCAGCAGGAAGTGAGCATCCTGCCGCAGGGGTCCGAGAGTTCCGGTTCTGAGGCATGCTCAAGGCCTCAAGGATTTGAACCTGTCTTTGAACATAATTCCGCGATGGTTCAGGGTGTACTACAGTTACCTTGCTGCTGAGTGAAATATGGTTTGAGCCGGTGCCGAGGTCATCGGATGTTAAATGGAGTTCCATTGGACCTTAGCAGAAAGGAGATTGCAGCTCTGACACGCGCAGTATAGGTTTGCAGATGATAGTTATGAGCCGACAGTGTTACCAATTATACTCTTGATTACTGCCCCCACGCTGTAATACATCACAAAGTTAGCCCCGTAGCCTTGGACATTGAATCAGGTGCCAAGCGTGCCAGGAAGTGAACATCCTGCAAGGGCCCCGGCGATGTTGAATGTCTTTTGGACGTCCTCGGAATGTTACGGTTTAAGGCTAAGGATTGGTATGATTATAAGGCTTAAGGTTTAGAGTGGGTTGTAGTGCGCCTAGACAGTATCCACAGGCTCTTTCGGATTTATAAAGTATAAAGAGTATGCAGTGACCCCAGGTCCTGATCATACAACGCTACTTAATAAGTAGTGTACTGTAAACGTGTGCCAGGATGCTGTTTTGGGTTTAGGACGGATTCGGTCTGCTTAAATAAAAGCCCGGGACTTTGGACTTTGGGGCATCTTGGTCACCCAGTAGTACCTTTACACCCCTTCAGGTTTGAGAGTATGCATATTCAGCACATGCGAGAAATCTGCTTCCAAAACCCAAATCACCACAAACACGCACTGCCAGGGCATCGGATACGGTCGATTTCAGAATAACAGAGGAATAAATGAAGCGGGGATTGTCCTTTGGTTCTGGTAGCACTCGCGTCTTCACAGGTAAATCAAGGCCCGTAGCCCAAGACCCGCACCCATGCAAACCGGAAACCCTTGAACCAAAACCCGGCTTCAATCCGCTTGCAAAGCCTTTGTAGAGGGTTAATGCCCACAAGCCCTGACTATCTTACACTAGTCCCACGTAGCATCCGCTGCCGTCGAGGGATTCGCCCAATCCTTGCCCCGCCCCCCCCCCCCCTCCCCCGCCCAAACTAAGACCGTATGTAAGCGTAAACACCTTGAAACATCGAAGGCACCGAGTGCAGCAGGAAGTGAACATCCCGCCGCAGGGGACCAAGAGTTCCGTTTCTGAGGCATGCTCAAGGCCTCAAGCATTTGAACCCGTCTTTGAACATAATTTCGCGATGGTTCAGGGTATACTACAGGGACCTTGCTTCTTCTGAGTGAAATATGGTTTGAGCCGGTGCAGAGGTCATCGGATGTTAATGGAGTTCCATTGGGCCTTAGCAGAAAGGAGATTGCAGCTCTGACACGCGCAGTATAGTTTGCGGATTAGTTATGAGCAGACTGTGTTATCAATTCTTGATTACTGCCCCCCACTCTGTAGCATATCACAAAGTTAACCCCGTAGCCTTGGACATTGAATCAGGTGCCAAGCGTGCCAGGAAGTGAACATCCTGCCAGGGACCCGGTGATGTTGAAAGTCTTTTGGAGTCCTCGCAGGTTTAAGGATTAGGGGCGGTATAATCATAGGTCATAGGCCATAGGGCTCAAGGTTTAGAGTGGGTTGTAGTGTGCCTAGAAAGCATCCAAAGTCTCTGTCGGATGTGTAAAGAGTGCAGTGACTTGTTCCTTCGGCGGGCTCTGTAGGGCTGGCTGGCTTGTCAAAAAGTAAACGACCCCCAAAATGAAATCATACAGGTTTGCGTCATCAGTCTGTAATCATATCCCCTCATCGCTTCCTGCATATAACTAACCTAGTTACTAGTCGGCACACTCTACCATTTTGAAAATATGAAGGGTCGTAGAGCTGGACACGCTCTGAATAAGGCTAAGTTTTACGGTTTCACAAGATGTTGTTAAGAGTCTAAGATTCTAGAGGGCTTGATGACGGCTTTTTCCTGCAGGCCGCCCTGAGTATATTTTCAGAAAATGTAGTTGTTTCTTCTTATTGTTAAGCTTTAGGGTTTGTGGCTGAGGGCTCTGGGCTGAAAGTTTCGGCTTGAGGGTAAGTGTACTCTTACTGCCTGAGCTTCCAAGTTTAATTGGGTTTGTCTGCCCTTCAGGCACCCAGTGCTCCTGGCAGCGAACCACAGGCCCGGGCCCCTGGGGTGTTGGCTTCGGGGCATCTGCCTCTGAAGTCTTCGTGCGTGCCTGAAGGATTTGGTTTTGACGCTCAGACGTTCCACGGCTGGGTCTCGGTTTTTTTAAAGTTTACAAAATTCGCATGCAATTGGCATTCTGGCTGTTGGCTTCAGGCCCACGGACATCTTGTCAAATTTCCTCGCAGGTTCACTCACGCACCACCTCAACCGATAAACTCGAAGCCCTGCAAGTAGTTGACACCCTTCCCAGGCTTATTCGAGTACTAGCTGTCACGAACATGACGGCAGTGATAGGAACCTGAATTTACACTTTGCTGCTTTGAGTCCGAAACCTGTGCGAGGCCAAGAACACAAGCACAAAGGGACACACATCCTGTGAACCCCAGTCAGCAGCTGGGAATCAAAGGACCCCCTCTCTCCCACCTCTATTCTGTTCCCTCTCGCAGTAAATTTCGGGGTCCCTGCAAACCCCCAAAACCCTAAATCCAACGTAGAACATCACCGGGAGTTCCCGTGGCAAGCGACCAGGCACATCCTGAATCTGGAAACGTAGATCATGATGGAAATGATTGACTCTACTACCTAGGACGTTTTTGTTGGTTTTATGGGGTGTTCTTGAGGCTTTTGCATAAGGGCCTCGATGGTTGGAATAGTGTATGGTCGATTTGGCAATACAGGGTAATTTTGTTTTGTAGTCGCGATGAGGGCATAGGATTGTACTCGGATACCCCGCTGTCGTTCGTCGAATATTTTCGTGTGAACGGGAGGCCAGAATTTTCATCAAGCATGGTTTTGCTAAGGGTTTTGAAAAACTACTCATAGTCGAGAAACGCCTGCCTTGTATGTGTCTGGGGAGGTCGGGCTTCCAGGACTTTGGTCGCGGTGCAGGATGTTTTGCTTGAATTTGATCGCCCAGTAGCGCCCCTGTCGAAGGTTCGCACGGTGGGTGCAGTGAGGGTTCCGGGATAAGTTCGGGGTTGTCTGCCCTTCAGGCACCTAGCGCTCCTGGCAGCGAACCACCAGCCCGGGCCGTAGTTATTGGTCAGGATGTCATCTTCGGGGCATCTGCCACTGAAATCTTCGTGCGTGCGTGAAGGATTTGGTTTTGATGCTCAGACTTTCCACGGCTGGGTCTCGATTTTTTGTGAAGTTTACAATATTCGCATGCAGTTGGCATTCTGGCTGTCGGCTTCAGGCCCACGGACATCTTGTCAAATTTCCTCGCAGGTTCACTCACGCACCACCTCAACCGTTAAACTCGGAGCCCTGCAAGTAGCTGACCCTTCCCAGGCAAATTCGAGTATATACGAACTAGTCAAGTCAAGAACTTGACGGCAGTGCAGGAACCTGCATTTACACGTTGTTGCTTTGAGTCCGACAAATCTACGAGGCCAAACACACACAAATTATCCACAGACACGCGCATGCGGCGCAAACGGACGCACATCCCGTGAACCCGAAGCAGCAGCTGGGAATCGGGGGGCCCCTCCCTTTTCTGGAGTTGCAAGCACAGTTTGAGGGTTGCTGCGAAACCGAAACTCTAAAACCCAATGTGGCACTGCCTCCCGACGTAGAACATTACCGTTCCAGGTTCCCGTGGCAAGCGACGAGCTAACGCAGGCCCGCCTTGCAAAGTCCTTGAACCATGGATCATGTTGAGCAAGATGTCATGAATAGGGGGTTTTTGAGGGTTTAGCATTGGGGCATTGATACTTGGATAGGGGCTGGTCGGCTTGTTGGTTTGGGAGGTATATCGTAGTATAGAGACAGTAGCAATCAATTGTAATAGTAGAAAAGCAGCGTTTGTGTCGTCTGGGGTTCCAAGAATCTGACCGCCGTTGCAATTTTTCGGTCTGAGCTAGGTCGCCCAATCATTTTCGTTTCGCATCAAATCTGAATGTTAGAAAAGGGGGTAGTTACCTTCATTTTCTAAGGCCATAGGGGGTACTGGGAAGAAGCCTAGAACTACTATCTGTATGGATCTCTATCGATCTCAGCGGTGCTACCTGGCAGTGTGTTTCATGTATGCCGGCTTGCGGGCAACCAAAAAGACAGTGCGATGGGCTGTCCTACGGTGTTGATTTGGTGGGATCCTGTTGACGCACTGAAAGGAAGGCTGTAGTCTGGAACTTGAGGAACGACCCTTCTGCCAGCCTGTCACCATTGCATGCAATCGCCTGCTATAGTGGTCTAAGGCTCTGAGGTTCCTTTAGGGGCTTTCTTATTCCTACCTGTCTGGGCTCCTCTACTTCGGCTTTGAGATGCTGTCATCTAGACTTCTGGGATGGTGTTCTGAGGTCACGCACAAGAGGTTACTTTCTCGTCAGACTTGCACATGTCTTCACAGGTTTGTGCATGTTTCCGTGGGTGCTCAAAACTCCCGCATTTGGCTTAGGGGGGCCCCTTAGAATGTATAAGAAGGTGGGGTGTGGTGGGGCCACAGATATACATTCCTCTCGTGGTCATCCTCGTTCTGCGTGGACAAATGCAAGCCCTTCCTTCCAGCGAAGCAGCAGTGCAAACATCACAATTGCCGCAGAAGTATGCCTAGAAGTATGCTCGTTAGCTGTTCACTGGCCGCTCAAAGACAGGAAATTAAAACGTTTGGTGTGGCTATGAATGCACTTACATATACATGTTCACCGTTGTTCTTTGGCTTCATGAGCGGGCGTTGTGGTTGAGAGACCTATCACCCCAGGAGTTCACCCCAGGGTCGACATGGGGGCCGACGGCTGTAGCAACAGATAGTCTGTAGCTACTGAATGCTATTGCTTAGCTTTACAGGCTATGGTTTCAGAAGTGGTTTCAGATTAGGTCTTTCCTTCGCAGGTGACTTCTCGTAAGTCGGGTCATAGATGCGGAGTTGTAACCAGGACGCTTTGCTGCTTTGCACAGCCATGGCTGCCGAGGGGAAGCCTGATTTTTATATGTGGGAGGAAAACAGGTACGAGACGATGGCGGTAACCTATGTGATCTCCTTTGGTACCAAAAAGACGCGAGACTGCGGCCGCAAGAGCCGAGCCGAAGCGGAGGACAGCCACCACACCTGTGCAGTTATTCCAAGGAGCTGTGTCGGCGGAACAGAACTCTTCCGCTGGCGGAACTGAAGAAGTTGTGCCAGCGATCCGGCAAGACAGAGCCTCTTCAGCATTTTCTCTCTATGGGCCGGGATGGGTGAAGAACAGGTGTAATTTAGCAGCAATTCAAGTCTAGAAACCTAGACCAGTGGACTGCTGAGATCTTCTGACGGCCAGTGAACCCACGCAGGTTCTCTTTTGTGCAATATCCAAAGCACTTATCCAAAGCATGATCTTCTTGGTGTTGGCGCTCCAGGAAAACCTGCCTATGCATCAAGGCCAAATTCCAGGGGAGCATCGGCAGGCATGCGCCAGGGGTCATGGTTTCACCAACGATAGGTCACAAAGGAATGCAAGGAGGGGTACCTTCAGAAGTACTTTGCTGAAGTGTTGTGTGAATACCGAACCAGGATACTGTCTATGTGGGGTATATGCCTAGTTTTGCGCCAAACTCCGCCTGGATTGAGATGCATCATGTTCGTGGCCGGTGTGTTTCCTTGATCCCTTTTCTACATGGCAATTTCGGGTCCCTGGTGTCTGCCACACAGGACCCCGCGGCTGCTCCGGCCGGTCACAGCTCACCTGGCGAGGCCGCTGGCGAGTGCAATTCCAGAAGTCTGGCTTGCAAGGTTAGGATGCCATGTAGGTCGGTGCGGTTTTTCTGATGTGTAAACGTGTTGAAGAAGACTATTTCCAATGCAGCGATCGCCAGAGTAACGCGGCAAGGGTTTGTGTCTGAGCTCCGTTAGTGATGCGAGGTTAACCAGTTAACCATGCTGATTTCAATGTTATCGTCACCACACACCCCGCTGCCCATCTCATTGTTGCGCCATCAGCCCGACCATGGGGCTTTTAGGTGTTTTGCGGCGATGCACAGGGGGCGTGTGCAGTTGGGAGCGCAGTTGGGAGACACATGCGAGAGTGCAGGAAAGAGTGCAGGAGCCTGCGGCTTCCACGAGGCCGGTGCTTGCATTCAGAACGTCCTGGCTGAACCGTGCATGCATCAATTCTTGCAGCAGCGAAGCAACCCATGCACGCTGTCAGACTGCTGGTGCTAATGCTGTCACTCGCACAAGCCGCTGCCTCAAGCGTGCTAGATACAAATAGAGGGTGCTTTGAAATTAGATATTACACAGCCCTAGCAATTAACCCAGGGTAGTAGTACTGGACTAGAACAATAATCATCCGAAACACGGCAAGGCCACTCTGAGTCTGGCAAAGATATGGAGTCATTTAAAATACCCTAAACCCTATAACTCTAAACTCTTTTTTTGTATAGGACCTTTCTAGAACCTTTCTGGAAGTCTTGATAACTGTTCCTAGTGCTTTTCAGGATTTGGAGTTTTGTTTGTCCCGAATCCCAACACCACCCCAAAGCCTTAAACCCTAAGCCCTAAACCCTAAACCCCAAAACAGGGAACAACCCCCAAAGCAAGCCGTTCAAAACAAGCAAGCCCCAGGAACGATACAGAGAAGATTAGCATGGCTTTTCTGCTAGGATGACATGCACAAATCGAGAAGTGCACCAAGCCCTTGGAACGACACAGAGAAGATTAAATTAGCATATACCAAAGCTAGCACAATCATAGATCCTGCACAAGAAATAAACACACAAATCGAGAAGTGTGCCAAAACAAACCCTCTCCGCTTGGTGGCGATGATGCTGCAGCGCCGGGATCCTTGGTTATTAAGTGGGGTTGTTTAGTAGGCTTTAGGGTTCTTTGGGTTAATTAGAGTAGGCGCCCTCAGTGGCGATTAGGCGCCCTCAGTGGCGATTAGGCGCCCTTAGTGGCGATTAGGCGCCCTTAGTGGCGATTAGGCGCCCTTAGTGGCGGTTAGGCGCCCTCGTGCTTCTTGCATGTGCCGGGCTTGTTTTTATTACGCAGATATTGAATATGGGGTATTCAATGGTCACCTGTTTAGATCTTCGGGTGTGCGTGAGGGATCCACAGAGCAGGGCACCGACGGCTTGATCGGGGTAGTTGTCCTAGGGTTGCTGTAGGGTTCCTGTGTGTGGCTGCCTGAAGAGAAGTCTCCGAACAGTCATCCTACTCAGTCATCCTACTCAGTCATCCTACTCAGTCATCCTTATTCAAACAGTCGTGACTGTTTACGGTGGAGGTGCCGAAGCGTGTTGCCAAGCGGCTCCAAGTGGCTCTTCTAGCGGGGAAGCTCGGAGGATTGTCATGCGACCTTCGGAGAAGAGTTGGATAGCTCTTTCAGTCCCAATGAGGTTGTGTACTGAGGTTGTGTCAGTGATGTTTATGAGATCGTCCTGTAACACCATGGTGACGCCATAGTGGGTGCTAAGTGCTGTGCATGGAAAGGCCGAAAGACCTGCGAAACTGCGGGGCAAGTGATTCTGGTAAGTGACCCTCTTGTAATGCATCATGTTTGCTTCGGGATCAAATTTCAGGGTTGGCGAGCGCAAGCACTCACGAAGTCATGAATGCGCAGAGCTCGCAACTCCCCCCCAACACAACCTAAAACCTGCAACCTCGCAGTTCCAGCTCTTTCTATTAAATGGGGTCGCGCGGGGGTCGTACTTAGGTCTATGTGGGAGTAGGGTCATGCTGTCCATGTTGATCGGTTGGATGAGGAACTAGGATGAGGATAGTGGTTTTGATGTTGCTGCTCATGGTGATGCTGTTCTCAAAGTACTGCTAACATCCCCAATAGACCCAAAACAAAAACCCGATAAAAGAAGCCAGCTTCTACTGTGCCCTCAAGGCCGCCTTTAAAGCATTCGTTCGAGGAGTTGTTATAACGAGAACTGCTCATCGGCGGAGCGCGAACCTTGCACAACTTCGTGGGGCACTTTCGTGGGGCCAAAAGGTTTTGAGCGCAGCATGGCCACAGGATAGCATTTGTGCAGTCATGATCCTTGAAAATATGCCGCAGACAACTGCAGACCCCAGTTCTAAAGACCTTGAACCTCACACCCGAGACCAGCGAAAGCTTGTCGGTCCTTGAACAGGCAGTGTGAAATTGCAAAAGTTCAGTGGCGAGCCGGTGCTAGACGAAGCAGGTGCGGGGCCAAGGCTTGAGAGTTTTGGAGGTTCAGGGCTTAGGATTCAGAGTTTGCCAGTCTTCCGCCAGTTAGGACCGTGCTCGTGCATGCAAGCCTGCAGACTAAGCCTTCTAATGCCACATGTCACGGGCAAATCCAACATTGTCAGAGTGTTAGCGCCGAAACCGTTTGTTTAACCCTTAAGCCTAAATCCCGATACAACGAACCATTAGCTCCTGGCTCGGTCCGAAACTCGGTCGGAACCCTAAAATCGTGTCTGATGTGCCGTGGTGGAAGGCTGCCCATTTCTCAATGGACAGCGTCCCCGAGAAACCGGTCCCTTGACCAGGTCCACCTGTTTTCGTTTCGCACTTCAGCAACAGTCGTGCGCAGCGTCGGGGGATTTAGGTATGGGAGGTCTTGCTTTGTGACTTGAGTTTCGGATTTTCCCTTGAATACATTCAGCTTAAGCCGTAAGCCTGGGGCCCTTAACTCCCTTAAGTACAGTGCACTGAAGCCTGGGGCCCTTAAGT